CCCCATACATATGTATAGGAAGTTCGGCTGCTGTTGTATTTATCGGAACGTCATCCTCGTCATCATCAGAATGTACGTTAAACTTTTGTGAGTCAGGTTCAACGAATAATCTCATTTCAGCACCATCTGCACTCGGCATCTGAAGTGGAGGGATGGGCATGTACCATTGTAGCATCGGTGGATAAGGATGTTGTGGTGGGACTGATGCAGAACCGGTAGCACCTTCTCTCCGTCCATACGTCGGAGGACGATGATATTGAGACGGTTGACGTCTTTCTCTGCGCCTAGGAATGCTAACCCCTCGTGCTTCCGTCGAAAGTAGAAACGGCTTCCCATTTTCATTAAACCAATTCATATAGTTATTCGTAACCATATGACCAGTTTCAGCGTAATATTGTCGAGGGGCCAACTGTGCATACCGATTTTCCCAAAGCACAATCCAATCTTTGTGTCTCACCACCCAGTTAACATCTTTCTTTCCTCGTCTATCTATCTTGTGCACGTCCTCTAAATTCCTAGGTGCTCCAGGAATATATTGCGTACAACCATACTGACGAAGCACGCGATCAACTGGATGCCACTCAATCATAGCATAACATATAAGAGGTATAACCGATATCCAAACCTCTAATGACCCACCAAGGTAGGGTGGGATGCAAGCATTCACTTCATCGCTTGCATAAGGTATCCATTGAAACTGAAATATAAATATACAATTCAAATAAATAAAATATTCTAATTATATCTAGCATTTTAAATTAAAATATTAATATTTAAACAGGTGTAAAAACATACCTCAGACCCAGCTTTTGTATCAATAAGTAGACGAATTTCCTCTAACCCAATAGGTATACTTCTATGATTCTTTCTTTTCATCGACCACCTATGAAATATAATATAAACTAAATACTCTATTTAATTAAAAATATTTAAATCAAAATTTAGTTCGATAATTACCTCAACAATAAGGGGAATACGTATGGTTCATTCACGATCGGACATAAGAAAGGCATGCGGAACCACGCCCATGATTGCAGAAGCATGAGACATCCACCGATAGCAGTTTTCTTATAATTCATCGCCCGACACATTTCTCTAAAGAGAAATGCCAAAACTGCAACACCCCAACTTTATCTTCCAGCTTCATCAAAATCGATCAGATGCCGCAACCACATAAAATGCACATGGTTGCGAGCTATGTTGGGCATCAATATTCCTCCAATTATTCGTAGAATATATGCCCGAGCACATGCCTTTGCTTGATCCTCTAAAGCATTTTCATTTAAAACCTCAAAATTAGCTTTCAACCAAGATAAAACTATTCTACCTCCATTAAACTCTGGCGGAGCAGCTCCAAGATAATCAATGCACATTGACTGCCAATCACCATCTGCCATACCACATATCATATTTTCGTCGACGGGAAGCCCCAGATGCATAGAGACATCCTTCAATGTAATTGTAGCCTCTCTACATGGAAGGTGAAAAGTGTGTGTCTCGGACCTCCACCTCTCAATCAATGCAGAAATTAGGACAGGTTCGAGTTTGCAACCGCTAATGATTGTTGCAATATATCCGAACCCGGCAGAAGCTAAAAATGGCAAAATACGTTCTGGTATCGGTATACGTGGATTTTTAATAAATGTCTCTAAAATACGATCAGTATCCTAAATAATATGCATTATAAAAATTTAAAATTAATATAAATTCATAATAAATTTAAATTAAACATAACAATAAATATTAACATTAATTATAAAAAAATATTACCATATCGCTAAAATGTCTGGAGATATGATCAGCATCCAATCACAGCAGCATTTCACTTTCCATTATAACTGTAGACAAAAAATAATAATTAGCACAAAAAATAATTAATTAATAAATTTAAATAAATAATAATTATATAAATATTATTTTAATAAAAATAATATTTTTATAATTATATTAATATAAAATATAATAACTATTTAAAAAATAACTGAAAAATAAATTTTTTACCACTAATAAGAAATTTAAAACTCAAAGATTTGGAGAATTTGAGTTATATAAGAAAGGAGAAGAAAATTTTGGTGTGAAGAATGAGGGGGGTTGAGGGGGTTTATATAGGGGAGGAGGAGAGGTAGTTGGAGAAAAATCGTACTGGCATTTAAGACATTTAATGAAAGGCGTGTCCCTGTGGATGCGCGTGACAATTGAATCAACAAAATAAAGGTAAAGCGTGTCTCCGGGGATGCTCTTTTCACACGTGGCATCCAACTCAGTGTAAAACCAGGTAAAGCGCGTCTCCGGGGATGTGCCTTTCGTCACCTCAGCCGAAAAGGTGTCACTTCGGGAAATATAGAAAAAACGATACTAAAAAGGGAGATATTCGGTTAAAGGGTGTCAGTTTGGTCAAATCGCCCTGAATCAGCAAAATAAATGTAAAGCGCGTCTCGAGATGCGCCTTTCACATGTGGCATCCAACTCAGCGTAAAATCAGATAAAACGCGTCTCAGGAGATGCGTCTTTCGCCATCTCAGCCGAAATGATGCCACTTCGAGAAATATAAAACAAACGGTGCTAAAAAGAGAGAGATTCAATTAAAGGATATCAGTTTGATCAAATCACCATAATTCAGGTGTTCCATGAGTAGTATCAGTTGCAGACACTCGTGAGTCGAGACATTGTTGAGTGCTTACCCCCAGCTCCAGGTGGGTGATGGGAAATGATTTTCATATTGTATCCGATGTCTTTCTCTCTCTTCCTGGGCACCTGACGCATACCTCTTAGCACAATTGTTAGCTTTAGGCTTTATTCTAGTTGCCCCCATTAATGGCAACTTTACAATGAGTTACGCACCACAAGGATTTGCCATTATGCTTGTTGTTTCTCAATATTTACATATTCTTTTTGTCAGTATGTGTAACTAGAAAATGTAGCGACTGGATACTATTTTCCTGTTATCAAGGAAACAGAACTTCACTGCCTCCGATTGAATTATTTTTTATTTTCTGGCAAATACGGTTGTTTCCAGTTGGGGTTTCCACTACCTGATTTTCTCTACTAGCCTAAACTCATAACCTACTCTATGTTTGAGACAGTGAGCATGCATTATGGAATAAATAGCCTAGTAGAACAGGGTCTTCTTCTGTATGCAATGCTCTTGTAATGTATGGGTGGATCTTTTTCATTGGAACCTATTTTCTGGTTCAGTGTTTTTTAAGTTTATTTTATTTTGTTTTGTTTTATAGTCTTTCAATATTTTAGGACCCTAACCTCAATAGATACGATTTCCTTTTATAATAGCCAACAGTGGACGTCAAGACTGTTTTGTCTTGACTAATTGATACTTTCCAAGTATGCTTTTGCAACAACTTCGGTTCTACATGCTTTTGCAAGAGGTAGATTGAACTTTTCTACGCCAGGTATTTCCTGAATTTCTACAAGTAGAAGCCTTGTCTATGATTAGCAATGCAATTGGGAAGGTAAATCAGCTAGTACTCCCATGCTGAACTTGCAAACTACCTTGATGCTGGTTTCAATGTTATGAAGGAATTATTCAGTTAAAAATGTGAATGGTTTTACATGATCAATTCAGGTGACGGTAAACTTACCACCAATATTTTTATAAACGATGACCCCTATCTTATCTCCTCTTTTACTTCCCCACCAGTACAGAAGTTGTGATCTAGAGCCTGTTGTGTATGAATTTTTCACTCAAGCGTTTGTATTATATGAAGATGTTGACGAAAACGGGTAAAGAAAACAAAAAACACGAGAATTTTATGAGATTCGGCAATGTGCTTACGTCCTCGGTGCCTAGGCGGCGCTAGAAGTTTTATTCAATTATATTTTAGGTCTAGGTTACATCTCTATTTATAATAGAAAACCCTGGTACATAATTACAAAATCAACCCTGTTCCGCAGGGACTGCGCCCCCGCACCCCAACCCACATAATTCGTAACCCCACAACGAGACTTTCTTTGTAAGGACTTCGCTCACTCCGCTCCATCTCCTGTCCTTTTACTGGTATATTTATGAGCCATACCTAACAGAAGAAGAAACTGTGGTAATTGTACTACACTGATCGGCTAATATTGAATTCAGTCTAATCTACTGTTGTTTCCTGAATGTTTATTGCTCATAGGATAAATCCCAAGTGACTGCAACTCATCTGATAATTGGGACTCTCCACATGAGTAATGTTGCTTGCCTCTTCTCTGATTCATCGTGCTTCATTGAACTGTTTATACAAACTTAAATGTCTTACTTCGGTCAGTATTCGGCTCGACTATTGAAGAAAGCCGATCAGTGCAGAGCTGTTTTTGCATGTTCACAACTTTTTTAAGTTGTCGATCAAGACGACATAAAGGACGGGGAGAGGTGACCTCAGAGCTCATTCCCTTCGATAGAAAGGAACTAAATAATTGTGGGCGAGGTTGCAGGGTTCTGCTTTGCCCTAAAGCGAGCTTTGAGAATTGCAAATGGTGCACGAGGTAACGATGGACCTGTTACACTCTTCGTTGAGATTTTGAACATGCCAATGCTTAGAATTACAAAAATGTATTTTTGTGGTTGTGTTTGCTTTAGGTACCTCTATTTCTTTTAAAAATGGAATCAGCAATTCACCCGTTCCGCATGCCTTGATAGTATTTCGGATGCTTTCTTTGGCAGACGTCGCAGTACAATTCAGTTCCAGAAACAAAAGGGTTGAGTAGCAGTTGAGAAATTCGAATCTATTACACTTTAAATTGTTGAGTAAGGTAGAGAATTTGTTCATTATAGCAACAATTCTTTTATAGAGCACCAAATAAAGCCGTTCCACTTACCATAGCAACTAAATTTTAAATCCCTAAATAATAAGCGCAAATAAGCACATAAACATATCATGCAAGAGAGCAGTTAATGTGTAATACCACAAGATGCGTGCATATTATAACAAGGAATGCTTTGTCATCAATCATATAAATCTGACAATAAGAAATACAAAAACAGAAAAACCACTTGATTCTTTCTTTTTTTAAAGAAAAAGTCGGTTTAAACTATAGAGATTATACATGATGACTTCGCTACTTCCTTGAATGTCAAGCTGACAGTGATAGAGATACAAGCAGCAAGAAGCTGGCAAGACCAAATCTTCCGTCAATCATAATATTGAGCAACCACCATGTGCCTTTTTCTTCTTGTTTTTCTTCGGAGGCTGGAGCACTACCTTAATGGCTGCATCGAACACTGCTTTCACATTCTGCATTAGATTCGTTGCACAAGATTCCATTCAAAAAAAAGATCCTCATAGCCAACTTTTCAGTTCAAAAAATACAAAGAGTATGCAGAGAGAGCATTTAACCTGCTGTGTTTTTGAACTACACTCAATGTAGGCAGGAGACCCTATCTGCTTCCTTAATTCCTCTCCCTGCAAAAGGAAGTAATGCAAGATCAATAGTTTTATAGAAAATAAGTGGAATGTGCTCTCTCAAAAATCTGCAAATACCGTACCTGAGCTGTGGAAATGGGCGCTGCATTAGGATGGTCTATTAAGAATTGCTGATCATCTCGGAGATCTGCAGCAGCAAAGAGTAGAGAACATAAGATTATTCCATGAAGCAGAAAGATTTTCAAAACCACTGGTATCGAACCAGTCACAACTCACAAACACAGCCATGGCAAACATACGTTAAGGATGTCATTATCTCGGGAGTAAGAATCATACCAAGCTTGGTTCCAACGAGAATTATTGGAACACCAGGCGCATAATGCTTTAATTCAGGAATCCACTGAAAAGGAAAGAGAACACATAATCAGTATAATACTGCATGAAATTAATGTCTAAAAGAATGATATTCAATGGTTAGACCTTCTTGGCAATGTTTTCGTAACTGGCCTTGCTGAGTAGAGAAAATGTAAGAATAAAGACATCTGCCCCGCGGTAGCTCAGTGGTCTTAATCTATTGTAATCCTCCTGACCTGTTCCAAGACAATAAATTTATCATAAAAAGGGGGAAAGAAAGCACTCAAACTCACTAACAGAATATATGTGTGTATTCAGAAGCCTTTCTAAATTACCTGCAGTATCCCATAAACCTAAGTTGACAGTGCTGCCATCCACAACAACATTTGCACTGAAATTGTCGAAAACAGTAGGGACATAGTCCTGATAACATAAGAGTTGCAAAGAAATGAGTTTCCAATAAAGAAAATCAGTAGGGAAATTAAACCCTAATCTTGACAGCATTTATAAAAGACAACAAAATTTCTATAGCAATTTCAAAGTTGTAGATAATATATTAGAATAAATCTCACTAGAACACTACTCATTTTAAAACATTCTTCTTTAATTTATTCTGAAATTAAAACTACAGAAATATTCAGCTTTCTGTTTTGATTCTTTATTTATCTGAGAAACAACTCCAAAAAACACACAACACTTAATAATGCGATCATGCAACGAAATTTCGAAAAAAATAAGGAAGAAATTAGAAAGGCTCACCGTAGGAAAAGTATTGCTGGTATAGGAAATCAGCAAGCAGGTTTTGCCGACGGCGCCATCACCGACGGTTACGCACTTTATGAATCTAGAGGCGCTCATTTTCCAGCGCCGAACGAAACAAAATGGAAAAAAAAATAGAAAACTAATCTCCTTATACTTCTTTTTTCTTTGTTTTCTTTATATTTTTTCCAGAATCACAGCTTTTCTTTCTTCAGATTAGCTTTAAGCTGTTGTAGTTCTACTCCCTGTTGTTGAACAGAGAATGAGATCCAAATTCATAGGTTTCATAGCAAATCTCCACGAAGTAAACCTCTAAGCAGAAGGTTGATTGGAGGGGGAGATAGAGAGAAATGGAGAAGAAAAAAAGGGAAATGCGGGGGGAAACGGGGCGAAGAAATGAGAAATCACAAATGCATTTTAAACGTAAGCTGACCTAACCAGCCTCTCGCCAGCTAAGCTTATTTAACAGCTCCCTTATCTTCATTTATCACACATATATTCTTTTCTTTTCCCGAAAATATATTAAAGATTGTATTTAAATATTTTTATGTTATAATTTTTTTATAGAACTTTTTATGTTATAATTATAAATACAATTAATGTATCTTATATATTATAATTATCATCAGGAATTAATTAATAGAATATATAAATAAAATTATAATCATTATCTATATTCACTTATAATTATGATTAAAATTAATTATTATAATAATAAAGTTATAAATAATTTGATAATTATAAAATATATATATATATATATATATATATATATGAACATATACCATATATTACAGCACTTAAACTATAATAAGATATAAATTTAACATCAATAAATAATATTTGAATATGATAAGATCTGAACATAAATTTTTATTTTAATTATCCATTTTCAAATGATAAATTATTTAATTTTAAGACATAAAACTAGGGCTATTTTTGTTTAAATTTGTAACCATTTTCTAGATTGAAACAAAGAAAATTATTTAAAATTTTGAATAAAGCAATAAAGGATGGTGCCCAAAAAGGCAAATGCAACGCCGAAGAACAAAAAAAAAAATCAAAAAGTTAGATTCCAAAATTTGAATAAAGCATTGGACCATTAGCTGAAAAGATCCATTTCTTCCGTTTCCAATTTTAAATTTAGCAGCCCGCCAACCTTTATACAATACCTAATTGATTTATAATTACTTAAAACAAATTCCAATTCACAAAATTCAAAAACAAGTTAAATACACTTTTTATCTATAATACGATTATACTATGAGTCAGTGAAACTGGAGAAAGTGTTAGAAAAACTGATGTCAAATGAAAATTTTAAAATTTATATATTTTAAATATTTTTTATTTTCTATTAAAAGTATGTTTTTACTCCTTGATATTTTATAAATTTATCCCTTTGACTTAACATCATGCTTTCGTATTTGCTTAAACCCCAAATGCAAAAGAATAATATATGTAACAGAAATATGATCAAAGTTGAGTGATAAAACTTATAGTTTATCAACCAATCCACCAGCTGTCAAGATCATACATTAGTTAACTTTGCAGGGCAATACATTTCGGTGTCGATCAATGAAACTTCAATCCTCGCATCATACATACTCACAATGAATTGATGTATTATTTATTGCTTAAAATTTGTGTATTTAATTATTGTTTGATTTTTTTAAATTATTTATTATTTAAAATTAATAACAACAACTGGTAGCTTCAATTCGTCAACACGTGCTATGTATTAACGCTACAAAAAGAAAATCATTGATATATATCAATACCATGTGAAAATTTGATTATTTTCATGGTATTGAAATAAAGTACATAACATAAATTTTATTTAAATACATTTAAATCTTAAGGGTTTGAAGACATTTAGTAAAAACTTTAAAAATGAATCGGGTCCTAATGAAAATAGTGTACCTGATTAAGTTTCTATGAATTAAAATGCATTTAATTGAACCCTTCTTTTAATAAAAAAATCATTATGTCCTTTGGTTCAAAGGGCTTATTAATTATATATATATAATTTTTATTAATATAGATAAATAACAATATACATATACATATAATATTTATGATTGTTTTTAATTTTAACTTTCTTTAATGTTGAATTGAAAAGATTTAAGGATTTTTGTCCGTATCATTTTATTTTGATAAAGTCGATTACGACGCCAAAATTCTAGTATTATTGACCTTGTTCTTCTTAATAAGCCAATAAAGTCTCACAAATGATAAAATTCATCAAATCTAAATATAAAAAAATCATTATCGACTTTAAAAAATATTTTTTAATTAAAATACATGAATTAGTTGATAAAATAGATATCAAAGATAAAAATTACTTTGTATAAACTTTATTTGTCTTTAATATAATAGATTTCTTTGTAATCCTATATATACTCATCACTTGTAAATGTTACAATTATCAAATATAGAAATTGTTTACATGGTAAATACCTAATAAAATTTTCTACTCTATTTTTTTTTCTTTTTCGCTCTCCTTCAAATCGGATATCATCTCGTGGCTCCCCGTCTTCTACCACCAACAATCTTGTGCATTTCATTGCATCGACCAATTTTCCAATCAAACTTGCGTCCATTAACTTTCCTATTTAGTGCTGACAAGTAGAGGTCACTCTCGTTGATTTTGGGCTAATTGATAATATTGATGGATCGCAACCTTCCCCATCTTAGTTTACCGATGTCACAACAATGATTGCTAATCATGAATATCTATAATGACATCGTTATGATCAAATTCTTATCAGTGCTATTTTGGCAGTTATGATGATCTAGTTCAACCTCTCATTTGTTTTGATGTCACTGCTAAAATGGCGTAAGATACTCTAGATGCAAGTTATGCTCATGCATCTCCTGGTCGCATTCATGCTCTCAAATCCAAGTTGGCTCAGAATCCACGTGGTTCTAGATCTATCTCCGCCTACATGAAAGACATGCATGATATTGCCTCTAGTCTTAACTTGACAAATTGTCTTGTTTTTTTATACATATATGTTGATTTCTATTGTCAATCAATTAGGAGATGACCATCGTCCAATAGTTATTGCCCTTCATATGCGTAACATACCAACAACAATTTTTTATATCAGTTATCCTTTTTATTATTCTTTATTAACGAATAAATCGATAATAGTACTTTTGGTAAATATAAGGATTAATTAATTTTTAATATTAATAAAAAAATCAGTTGATGTATTTTAATTAAACTCAATTAGATGTATTTGTTAAATAAAAAAACTCAATTAATTTTTTAATGTTTCTTATTAAGTACTTTTGAAACCCGATTTAGCCTCAATTTAATAGTCCGTGGTAGTTCAATATTCCCCGAACGAAACTTTCCCATGTAACAACTATCTAGAAATCTTAATTCATGCGAATCATCCTAGGGACTCGAACCCAACCACAGTGTGCCACGTTTCTGAAAGCAAAATCGTTTGATCGTCCACTTGGACCAAGTAAGCGAAGGAGCCGATGTATTCTCTGTGGGACTGACCAAATCTCCACGCCGAACAAACTAAGCATCCCCAATAAAGTTTCGCCACGTCGCAATAAATAAAACTTCTGACCGTCAGATCGTCCACGCTGGCACTAATAACCAAAACAATCCAATTCTAAGCAAAGACCCAAAATCTAACTAAAAATCTTTGGAAATGCTAAAGCCTCAGCTATTTAAGAACACTCCCAATTCCCAAACCATTCTATAAATTCAGTATATTGAAAACTAGTGTAACTCATAATTCCACTCAGGCGAAGCTTAAAAAAGCAAACAATGGGGAAGTGGGCGGTTCCTTCCGCTTTGGTTCTTCTTTGCCTTCTCAGTCTCGTCTCAAATCAAGGTAAGTTTAGCTGTCCTTTTTTTTATTTCCGTATCATATTTTTATCGAATTTTTCATTTAGCGTTTGAATGCTGAATCCGGTTCTGCGGTTGTTTCAGATAGAAAAGTTCAAGCAAATGCGGACGAAGGAACCGTAGGTTCTCCAAAAGTGGAGGAAAACATCGGCGCTGTGCCTCACGGTTTACAAACTGATTCTGACGTAGTTAAAAGGTTGGCGCATAATATTGTTTAAGAATGTACTATTTGATGACTTTTAATTTCATTTTTTTGGTATTTACATCGGGTTCTTTTTTTCTTTTTTTCGTAGGGAATCGGAATCCATCTCTTCGAGATCGCTTCGCAGTAATGCAGAGAAATTTGAATTCCAAGCTGAGGTGTCTCGGCTTATGGATATTCTTGTCAATTCTCTTTATAGCAACAAGGATATTTTCCTCCGAGAGTTGATCTCCAATGCATCTGATGTGAGTTTTCCGTCATTCTTTGGTGATTGTTTTTGAACTCCACATTTAAATAGAAACTTGTTTCGGAATTCAGGCGTTGGACAAGATTAGGTTCCTTTCACTCACGGACAAAGAAGTGTTGGGCGAAGGTGACGCTGCCAAGCTGGAGATCCAGGTTAGTTCTGCGTTAAAACTTTTTTTCCATAGAAATAAAAATGTAGAAATTCCAGTAACCGAATAACTAGAAAGAATGTTATAAACCAAGCATGTAAATGTAGAAATTCTGTTTCGGTATTGATGCATGTAAACCTGTCTTTTCTGAGCCTTATAATCTGATGAAAATTGTAGATCAAGTTGGATAAAGAGAAGAAAATTCTTTCGCTCCGAGACAAAGGTATAGGAATGACAAGAGAAGATTTAGTCAAGAACTTGGGAACAATTGCAAAATCTGGAACTTCTGGTAAGTAAATCTTAGATTCATTTCCTTCAAGTGATTTTATTATATTAAGATTATTTATGTAAATCGAAATAATTGTTTTTATTTTCTCTGTGCAGCATTTGTTGAGAAAGTGCAGAGCAGTGGAGACCTTAACCTGATTGGGCAGTTTGGTGTTGGGTTTTACTCCGTATATCTGGTAGCTGACTATGTTGAAGTCATTAGTAAACACAATGATGACAAACAGTGAGACTGCTAAACCTTAATGCAGTTGTTACAGAAGTGTTTGACTTATTTTTTAAATAATCATTTAATGAGTATTTTTTTTTTCCAGGTATGTATGGGAATCAAAGGCTGATGGGGCATTTGCAATTTCTGAGGATACTTGGAATGAACCACTGGGCCGTGGAACTGAGATTAGATTGCATCTTAGGGATGAAGCTCAGGAGTACTTGGAAGAATACAAATTGAAGGTTATTATAGCTCAATTCTTTTTCTTTTTCTTTTTTGCTTTGGCTTTTGAAGATATGTTAACAAAGCATGTTGTGCGCCTGTGGTTTTCATATGCAGGAATTGGTGAAGACATATTCTGAATTCATCAATTTCCCCATCTCTATTTGGGCAAGTAAAGAGGTTGATGTTGAGGTACCTGCAGATGAAGATGATTCCGGTGATGAGGAGGAAACCAGTATGTATCAATGAAAGAAGCATGTTAATGTTTATTTAAAACTTTCTGACGCCATATTATCGTAATACTGTAAGAGTGTGCATGATCCGATCAAAGTATTTGGTCTCGTTCTCTTTTATTGGTACAAACAGCTGATAAGACTTCTTCTGAGGAAGGAGAAGATGAAGATGCAGAAAAAGGCGAGGATGAAGACACTGAAAAGAAACCAAAGAAAAAGACAGTGAAGGAAACTACTTACGAATGGGAACTTCTTAATGATGTTAAGGCTATATGGTTGCGCAGTCCAAAGGATGCGACAGATGAGGAATACATAAAATTCTATCACTCTCTGGCAAAGGTAATTTGACATAAATTTCTAGCTCCAGACTGCTGAAAACACTACTTTGGAGAAGTTACTAACCTTTTTTGTTGTTTATTTGTGTTGCTCTGCAGGAATTTAGTGCTGATAAGCCCATGGCCTGGAGCCACTTCACAGCTGAAGGTGATGTAGAATTTAAGGCTGTCTTGTATGTGCCTCCCAAAGCTCCTCATAATCTGTATGACAGTTACTATAAAGCTAAATCCAACTTGAAGTTGTATGTTAGACGAGTTTTTATCTCTGATGAATTCGATGAGCTTTTGCCAAAGTTTCTTAGCTTTTTGAAGGTAATTGAAGATAACGCCAAGTTACTTTAGATGACTTAAATAAGCACTTTGTTTTCCTGTTTTTTGATTGTATTTATTATTGGATAACCTATTGAGCAGGGTATTGTTGATTCTGATACTCTACCACTCAATGTATCTCGAGAGATGCTACAAGCTCACAGCAGTTTGAAAACAATCAAGAAGAAACTCATCAGGAAAGCCCTTGATATGATACGCAAAATTGCTGAGGAGGATCCTGACGAGTCCAGTGGCAAAGACGAGAAAGGTATGGTAAAATTGCTTCTGAGGACTTTTAAATTGAAACCCTTTTATTCTAAATTGTTTATCAGTCGGTGATTGAACCTGAATATCGATGTGGATGCAGAAGTTGAAAAATCCGTTGATGATGATGACGATGAGAAGAAGGGACAATATACTAAGTTCTGGAATGAATTTGGAAAGTCCATTAAACTTGGTATCATTGAGGATGCATCCAACCGAAATCGCTTGTCTAAACTTCTTCGCTTCGAGAGGTATTAGCTTCTGAGGCCATCTTTAATTTCTTCGCAAGAATTTTCGTTTTCTGCCATTAATATCATTAATAATGTATGAATTGCAACGCAGCACTAAGTCAGATGGTAAGTTGACTTCACTGGATAAGTACATATCAAGAATGAAATCGGGGCAGAAAGATATCTTCTACATTACAGGAACGAGCAAGGAACAATTGGAAAAGTCTCCGTTCTTGGAGAGGCTTAAGAAGAAAAATTATGAGGTACTGCAAAACTAGTAGCTGTTAACTTCCTATTACTTATTTTACTCCATGTGATCTATGTTTGTATTGGTTTATTTCGTTTCTAATGGCCTTCATTATTTTCAGGTCATTTTCTTCACGGATCCCGTTGACGAGTACCTGATGCAATACCTGATGGATTATGAAGGAAAACAGTTCCAAAATGTGTCCAAGGAAGGCCTAAAAATTGGGAAGGACAAGAAGAACAAAGAACTCAAGGAGTCATTTAAGAAACTAACCAAATGGTGGAAGGGTGCACTTACCACTGACAAAGTTGATGAGGTGAAAATAAGCAATCGTTTGGACAACACTCCTTGTGTGGTCGTCACTTCGAAGTTCGGATGGAGTGCTAACATGGAGAGAATCATGCAAGCTCAAACCCTATCAGATGCTAGAAAGCAATCATACATGAAGGGCAAGAGGATCCTTGAAATCAACCCAAGGCACCCCATCATCCAGGAGCTTCGTGAGAGAGTTATTAAGGACCCTGAGGTATGAACATTTAAACCGAAACATCCATGTTGAACGGCACCATTTTCCTTCATCTTGTTTCATGCATTACACTGGATCAGTTGACTAAATTGTTGGAATCATTCGGTGAATCTTCAGGATGAAGGTGTGAAGCAAACGGCTCAGCTTATTTATCAGACAGCTCTGATGGAGAGTGGCTTCTCTTTACCCGACCCCAAGGATTTCGCCTCACGCATCTACAGCTCAGTTCAATCTAGCCTAAACATCAGTCCGGATGCAACAGTTGAGGAGGAGGAGGATGCAGAAGAGGCCGAGACAGAGACCGAAACAAAAGCAGGTTCAGGTACTCCAAAGGGCGAAGCCGAACCTGATACAGATGAGTCTAATGATCTCAAGGATGAGTTGTAGATTGTCTGAAGCTTCAGGTGATATGCCTTTTTCGAGTTTTTCTTCTTTTAGTTCGAATCCCTCTCAAGGGAATCCATCAATGCATTTTCAATTGTTGAAACTTTGATAAAAGAAAGCATTTGATGACGGTAGAGTTAATGTATAGTCGCCAGGAATTTTGTCTTTGGTTCGAACTTGCTTGAGTTGTTAGTACTATTTTTTTAGAATTAAATATATTATAATAAAATTTTAAAAAAATCAAATCCAATATTAAAGTATTCGAATTGACTTGATATGTTAAATAATTGGAAGATCAACTGGCCTTTGTAGCTTTAAAATCAGGCTTTCCCGAAGTTACACGGTCCATGGAATTAAGCATGGGGTCTTCGTGCCAAATTGTAGAATAGGGTAGAAATACAAATATCCTGGTGAGCCTAGACTTATTAAGCTTGTCCAATCTACTACAAACTAAAATCTGCCCAAACAAGATGACACTTAAACCTCAAAAGTGAAACTTTGGACAAAACAAAATATGTTCAACGATTCAAATGTAATTTGAGTCATTAAGGTTAATGTTTTCTAAGATTAATTCTATTTATAAAATGAAAAATAAGAAGAGAAAGTTGGGGTATGGGCAAAATCCAACGCTCTTCTTGTTCAGAAATGGGTGTTGCGGAATTGTGAGATACTTCAATGGCGAAACATGGGTTTTCATGAGGGAAATTGAGCTTTCTCAAAACTAACCCAAAGACCATTACAGACAATCAATGATGCAGAAAACCAAGTCAAAAGTAAGCTGGCTACTAGGTTCACCTTGTCTGTTAGTGGATATTTCAATATGGCTCTTAATGAATCACATTTTTACCGTGCTTTATTGGTTGGACAACTGAACATGCCGCATGGTCTCGAGGAGCTTTCGATTTCTAAGACTTCAATCGTATGTTATACATCATGCATAGGAAAAAGGGTTTAATTATGGTACCAAAATCTGTTACACTTCGAACCAATAAAAATAAAGATATTACAGAACAAATTAATCAAAACTCTCTTTTGTTGGTAATTGCTTGGCGAGGGTACGAAGAAAACGGGTGAGGGACTTTTCAGCACTCTTCACTGCTGCTTCTATTTTTGCCATGTCTTCTTCAGTCGGATTCCGGCTTTGTTCTTGACTCGTCTGCACTCTTCGAACAACTTTACGCAATTCCTGTCAAAACAACTTTGCCTGGTGAACAGAGGAGCAACAGATTGGGATGACGAATTGCACCCGGCATTTGCCAGGCTCTGATTTCAATTATTCCGAGGATTACTCCGACTTCCTTATATGTATCAGCTTTGGCAGCAAGTGCAGCATATCTCAGAATAGCCTATATGTATCAGGGCTGCGGTATAATTATGGGTTGCAGGTGTAAGGAGCACTGCAAATGATTCGATCAAATCTTTCTGATGCTTGGGGTTTAATTCCTCTATGTTCAAGTAAGTTGAGATGCTTTAAGTTGTGTATGTAGAGGACACTGTACCGGTAGCAGTTTAACAACTTGATGAACGAACAAAAAAGCAAAACAAAAAATGAGCATCCAAGGCAAAGAATTTAGACAGATTTGCATGCCTAACAAGCCCAATCCTCCAAGGGTCCGTACTGGTACCGACCAAAGCAGTTGTGTCTAAGAGAACTTTGGCAACAAATGAGAAACATTTAACTTGGTTTGCTTGCCTGGCGATCGAAATCAACACTTCTAACCGAAAATACTTCGTTTGTAATTTCAATGTCCTTGCTGATCAACCCATCTATTTGCAATATCAATAAACTCTTGTGACTGCAGCATGTAAAATAAATGGTAAGACAACACGATATGTGAGTGTTATTGGCTTAACCAAGTCTCAAAATAAAACTTAAATTACAGTATATTCGAATGGATCTTCATCATCTTCTTCTTCTTCTTCAACGATTTGTGTCTTTGAACCAGCTAAAGCCACCAACGTTTTTTGGTCACCTACTTTTGTAGCTTGAATCAAAGCTTCCATCAATTCGGGATCTGCTTCTCGCAGCAATTTCCCTAACGCAAAACACAAGTATAAAGCATTGACCACAATGCGTATAAGCTAAAGGAATGCAAATCAATTGGCGTTGAATAAACTTCTCTTACCAATATAATTGAACTGCCTTCGCTTTCCTTCTCTAACATCAGGGCCTAGTCTCTGCAACCAACAAACAAACACCTTGTCTTCAATAAAATATTTTGCAAAGGTGTTTCAAATTATAAAAAAATTGCATTTTCCTAAGTACCTTAACCAACAGCAAAGCATCAAAAACATCTTGTTCGAGAGAAGCCACTCTAAAATTCCAAAAATTAAAGAAGTTAGCTTTCAGAATATACCATTTCAAAAGTTCTAAATAAATATATGTTTTTTTCGGATTGAACAGTACCTGAGGACACGTTTGATTTGACGGGTTGAGAAGGAAGCAAGGTCCATACCCCAACGGACTGCGCGACGAGCCTCGCGCTTCTTCTGGTTGCGGCTCTTGTTTACATCGGATTCCGTTTCGTCACCGATTTCTCTTTCTTGGACATTATATGGGGATGCGGCATTGGATGATATGATTCCTCGTGGGCGTTGACGAGCGTTCCCAAGGAAGGAAGTTGAAATGGCGAAAGAGAAACAATGGGAAGGGGGTTTAGTTGACACTGTTAGTATTCGGGAGCAGCAGTGGTACTTCTGCTGCAGCTGCAATGGCGGCCATTGCCTTAGAGAGCGTATAAGCCGTGCCATGCTCCGTTCGACCAACGTGTCTTCTTTGAAACGCCACGAGATCAGCTCCGGTGACAATTGCCAGGCGACCCGATGGAAGACAAAGTTATCTGGTAAGTGCTTATAATGCTGATGTAAATGATACGAGATCCGACCTATTCAAGTTCGGCGCAGTTCAAGTCCGATCATCACTCAGATTAAATGGACTTAATTCGAGTTTTTATAGACTCAAAATGAACTACTTTTGATGTCAAACTCAAAAAATTCTTGATTAACTCAAAAAAAATTAATATATTAAACTTTTAAAATTAAATTATCAATAATATTAATATTTATAGGTTGATTTTCCTTTTAAATACAAGATAATGATTTCATGTAATTAAAGTTTAAGTTTGAATTCGAGTTTTAATTTTAATCGAATTAAGTCTGAGAATATTTCAAGTTTAGTTTTTTAGAGTTCAAATTGAGTTCAATTTTCTAATTTCGAGTTAGTTTGAAAATTTTATGCTCACGAGTATTCAAATCGAGTAAAATTTTAATTTTTTATTTCAAGTTCAAATCAAGTTTGATAATTTTAAACTCGTGAACTTTCAAATAAAATCAATTTTAACTTTAAATTTTTTTTGCATGGAGTCAACTTTATAATACTCAAATTAAATTCGACTAAACTCATTTACATTACTAACTCCAACAGCCTCTTATTGTCATTTCATACAGAGAATTCCCTGTTGACCCAAACGTGGGAATGGGTTATTTTGTTTAGCAAATGGGCTTTAGGCATGAAGCTAAATGTAAAAATTGATGTTAGATACGAATTAAACAATGAAAGTTCCAAAATGATTAAAAGGCCAAATCCTCTGTAGTCTGTACATTTGCAGCCAAGATCAGGAGACTTGAAGGGTTCACTTCTTTGGAGTAAAGCTTTGATGGGTTCACGTGTTCAGGTCAGTTCCGCAGGTTCCAATCTCTTTATCTTCTCTTTTGACAATGAATCTGCTAGAGATTGGGTTGTTGACAATGGTCCTTGGCATGTTCATAATAAGACCCTAATTCTTAGGAATTGGGAACCGAATTCGCAAAGCCTTTGTTTTGATTTAACTAAGATTCCTATCTGGGTTCATCTATACAATGTTCCATTAGAGCTTTTCTCCAGAGTAGGACATAGCTACATCTCTAGTGCAATCGGTAATCCTCTGTCGATGGACTCCATCACTGCTTCTAAAACTAGGCTTGAGTTTGCAAAAGTATGTGTGGAAATAGGTGTTAATGATGTCATTCCAAAATTCATAGAAGTCGTCCTCAGAGATGGACATCAAACTTCAATAACTGTTGAGGTTCCTTGGCATCCTCCTTCTTGTAAGAAATGCCGAGTATTTGGGCATAATGATAAGTCTTGTTAGCAAAGAACCACTCTAAAAGTCAATTCTGGTCCTGCTCAAGTCTGGAAAATGAAGGAAACTGCTCCAAGTGCCAGTCAAGTAGGAGGTATTGAAGTTCTGCAAGAACCAGTCTGTAATGTCTCAGAAGGTATTGAGGTCGGTAATTTGCAGGAGGAGAAGGGAGGTGCTATCTCGAATCAAGATAATTCCAAAGGAGGAGTTGCTATAACCACTAGTGATCTTCCAAAGGATGCTGATATCTCTATTCTCCAGGAGCAGTCTGAAACTCTTGTTAATGATAAGCTCGACCATGTTGTCTCTGCTATTACAGAGTCACAGCATCATCAGGAACTGGATACTGCTGTTGCAGACCTTATTAATCCTCAATTTGCTACTATTCCTTCCACCAGCTCAGTTCCTCAGTCTAAAAAGGGAAGAGGTAAACATTTTAAGGATACTGGCCAGGGCTCTCTATCAGGATCAAAAAACAAATTTGAAGTGCTCAACTCCGTTGATGAACTTCCTAATTTAGAGAATCAACCTCGAAAGCCTAGAGCAGCATCATTAGGAGTTGCTTGTTTAGTCAAGGAGCTAAAATCAAAAAAGAAAAATCAAATTGACAAAGTTAAAAGTATGTCTGTAGAAAGCCAAGGGGGGTCCTCTGGATCGCCAAACTTATGATAATCAGTTTCTGGAATGTTAGAGGACTCAATAGCCCTCTAAAACAAAATAAAGTGGTTCATAGAGCCATGCTGAACAAGGTGGATGTCCTTTGTCTGCTGGAAACCATAATCAAAGTGGATAAATCTGAAACAATTTTTTGTTCTAAATTTTCTAATTGGATTTTTTGTTCTAATTATGATTATGCAATCAATGGAAGAATATGGATGCTTTGGCGGAAGGGAATAGACATGTCCATCATTCAAGTTGTTGATCAGTGTATTACTGCCAAAGGGAACTTTCAAGGTAAACTGGTATTCATTTCTGCCATCTACGGTAGTAATGATGGAGTTCACCGTAGGCAGTTTTGGCAAAAGATAAAGGATACTGAGTCTATTGTTGATCAATCTCCTTGGGTCTTAGGAGGAGACTACAATATTTTTTTTGCACTCTCAAGAAAGTTCTGACCACGATCTCTTAGGTCATTACCTCACTCCTGACATAAAAGATTTCCAAGTATTCACTCAAGAGCTTGCTTTGCACGATCACCCTTTTTTTGGTCCCAATTTTACTTGGAGTAACAAACAACAAGAGCTTTTTCTTGCTAGGAAGCTTGACAGAGTCTTAGTCAATCCTAGATGGGACTCTGCTTTTCCTAATTCCTTTGTTGAATTCCTCGCTCCTGGTGTCTTTGATCATTGCATGGCTGTAATTTGGCTTTCCAAAGATCCTCCTGCTTCTAGGTCGAAACCGTTCAAATTCTTTAATTTATGGACTGTCCATCCAGTTTTTTTAGTACTGTTAGACAGTCTTGGTCCCACAATGTTCTCGGCAACCCTATGACTGCCTTGTTCTCTAAGCTGAAAAGACTCAAAATTTGCCTTAAGGGTTTTAACATCGAACACTATAGCAACCTTTCGGACCGTGTTAAATTAAAGAGGGCTGAATTGGAACACCAACAACTCCTAACTCTTAAAGGAGAGAATGCCATTGAGAAAGAACTCGAACTACAAGACCAGTTGAAAATCCTTGAAGAGGCTGAAACTAATCTTCTTAAGCAAAAGGCTAAAATCCAATGGATGAGAGATGGTGACAAAAACACAAAGTTTTTCCACTCGATTGTAGCCTTTAAAAGTAAGAGGGACACTCTAAGAATTCTAGTGGATGACAGTGGGAATAGACTTGAAACTTATGACGACATGTCTAAAGAAGTTGTTTCCTTCTTCTCTAAGCTTCTTGGTTCTTCTGACCCCATGGTCAAGGACACCGATCCTGCTCTTCTTAATAACCTCCTTAATTTTTCCATGTCGGCTGAAGCTTCCTATAATCTCGTGAAGGAAGTTACTGAAGAGGAAATAAAAAATGCTATCTTTTGTCAAGGCAACGATAAAGCCCCTGGACCAGATGGATTCACTCCCTACTTCTTCAAAGTTTCCTGGGCTATTGTGGGCAATGACGTTATGTCTGCTATTAAATTTTTCTTCAGCAACTATTTTATGCATCCGACTTTTAACTCCACTATTATCGCCCTTGTCCCTAAAATTCCCAACCCCAGAGCTGTCAAGGACTACCAGCCTATTTCTTGCTGCTCTGTTATCTACAAGACCATCACTAAAATTCTTGTCAATAGAATGAATGCTTACCTTCCTCAGATTATTACCATGAATCAGACTGCTTTTATAAGAGGAAGAAACATTATTGATAATTCACTCATTGCTCAAGAAATGGTCAAAGGATATGGCAGGAAAGTTATTTCTCCAAGGTGCTCCATGAAAATCGATCTTCATAAGGCTTTCGATTCCTTGCATTGGGGCTTCATCTTATCAATCCTTCGAGCCCTTCAATTCCCTAATATTTTCATTGATTGGATTGTAATCTGCTTCACCCAAGCCAGGTATTCTATCTCCTTCAATGGATCTTTAACTGGTTATTTCAAAGGAGCTAGAGGGCTCAGACAGGGGGACCCCATCTCCCCTTATTTGTTCGTTTTAGCCATGAACGTCCTTTCAAATATGCTCAATTTGGCTGCTGCTAAAGGCATTTTTGCTTTCCACCCAAAGTGTAAGAAGATTGGGCTAACTCACCTTTCCTTCGCATACGACCTCTTGATCTTTTGCAAAGGCAATGTTGATTCGGTGATTGGTGTCCTAAGTGTTCTTGATCACTTTTACCAAATTTCTGGGCTTAATCTTAACTCTTCAAAAAGTGAACTCTTTGCAGCAGGTATTTCTTCAAGGACGTTAGAGGATCTTAAACTCTTTACTGGTTTCAAGATTGGGTCGTTGCCTGTCAGATACCTCGGCATTCCTCTCGTTACAAGGAAATTAACTGCCAAAGACTGCGAGCCTTTACTCGGTAAAATCAGGCAACACTTGTAGCACTGGTCTGGAAGGAACCTTAGCTATGCTGGCAGGCTTAAGCTAATTCACTCTGTCCTGTTCAACGTCTGTAACTTTTGGTGCATGCAACTCATACTTCCTGCTTCCATTCTTAAATCTGTGGATCAACTCTGTTCCAGGTTTTTCTGGAAAGGAGCTGATACTTCAGCAGCCGGTGCTAGAGTAAGTTGGGAATCCATATGTCTGCTGAAATCTGAAGGAGGTCTAGGTTTAAAAACACTGCTATTTGGAATAAAGCTTGTACCATCAATCTTATTAGAAAAATTCTAGCAGGCGATGGATCTTTATGGGTTGCATGGCTAAAATCCTATGTCCTAAAGGAGCACGATTTCTGGACTTTTGCAGCTGGATCTAATGTCAGCTGGAGCTTTTGTCGAATTCTCAAGTTGAGATCTATTGCTTTCCCTATAGTCTCGGCTGCTCATCAGCCGATCAAGAAAGTCTGGGATAAGATTCGGATAAAACGCATGAAGGTTTGTTGGCACAAACTTATCTGGTATCCTTTGCATATCCCAAAACACAGTTTGATTTCATGGATGGCCTTATTGAATCGGTTACCAACCAGAGACAGGTTGCAGAAATTGGGTTTATGTTCTGATTCTACATGTGTTAACTGCTGTCAAGATCAAGAATCGCGAGATCACCTCTTCTCTCACTGTCCTTTTGCTATCGGACTTTGGAAAGCAGTTTTACAACTGAACGATATGACTATTACTCCTCTTACTTGGGAAACTATGGTATCTTGGGCTAGCACAACTTTGAGAGGGAAGTCTCTTATCTCCACCTTATTGAAGATTTCTTGGAACGCTTTTATCTACTTCATCTGGCAGGAAATGAATCAACGTATTTTCCAGGGTCGGCAAATATCGATCGATATTTTGCTTAATGACATTATTGAAACTATTAGTATTAGACTTAGGGGCAAAGCTATTAATAGACTTGATAGAACTAACCAATTGTTTTGTAATGCTTGGGGTATAGTCTAACCAAGCTTCGGTTCTTTTGCATCTATGTTGCTTTATCTCTTTGTTGGCTGATTTGTTGTAGTATAACATTGTTATTTTGGGTAATAAATTCTGATTTATCCAAAAAAAAAAATTGCTTGATTTGGAGAATCTATGCAATTGCAATTTAGGCTTAGAATTCAATCACAAACTGAAAATTGGGATTCTTAAGGGATTTTGTAGAATATGAAACAGAAGACTAAAATCATATCACAAAAATCCAACCTTTATAACCTCAGGCTATGAAAATAAGCTGCCTGTTTTAGTTCCTATATATTTATATTCAGTATTTACAGCCAAAATTAGCAGAAAATTAGTCATTCCAAAAAGCCTAAAAGAATGAAAATTTGCCTAAACCCATCTCTGAATTCCATACTTCATCCCAAGTATCACCAACATTGATCGGTTTCCCACTCGCTTCGTGTAACCACAAAATTGAGACCCGCCGCGTCGTTTCGACCATTACCCGAGACATCCGGGTGTAGAACCCGAGCCAGGCTCCGGTAAGCAGCCTTGATTTCTTCACACGTGGCACCCATCGGAATCCCCAGTACCTCGTACAGTGACGACGGACAATCAATGTGGGAAACCGGTCTCTCGGCCGTCGATGAACAAGCGGCGGAGATACGAAGTTGCCGGAAATGGACACGTTTTGGCAAGAAAGTTTGTTCCTTGATGGAAACTTTGGAACCCAAAAAATGAGCAGAGGAAGAGGCGAAAGAAGCCATTGTAGCAGATGTGGAAGTCATTATCGTTTACCGTTTGTTTGTTTGTTTGGATGGAGAGATGGTTTAGGGTAATTATAGAATTGAGTGAGTTGGGTTGACTCAGAGACGGTTTAGGATATTAAATAATAGCTTATCCATTATATCAAATGCTGACTCGGAGATGGTTTAGGATATTAAATAATAGCTTGTCCATTATATCAAATGCTGACTCAGAGAATCGTCGGCGTTTCAGAATCTTTTAATCCGCGAGGTACGACTACAGATTATCTAGCTGGCGGTAATTCACTGATCTTGTAGAAATTTGTCTTTAAATATTATTTGAGAACTAATTTATAGTTAAATAATTATTTTTATGACATTCACTAGTAAATTTTATTAAATAATAAATTTTGTTACTTTACATTTTTGTATTATTATCCATATTTTAAATTCTGATTCTTTTGTTATTGGATAGAGTAAATATTATCATCAAACATTTATTAATTTATTAAATAACATTTAATAGTTTATTAATGAATAACTTGATTATACAAATTTTAAACTTCCCTTTTTAATGTTTGATTTGGTATATCTCTTTAATTTGGGTTTATCTAATTATATTATGCTTTTTTTCTTACTTTAGATCCTCAAGTTGATTCTCTCATGTCAACCACCTTACACAAACTGCGTTTTTAAGTTTTAATAAGGTAATTTATCAACATGTTGTCTTTATCGTATTTATTCTTATGTTAGTGTTGATAATATTTATCATTTACTATTAGACAATGATATTTGCTAGTGTCTATTACTTTTTGAATTGTTTGGTTAAGTTTTTTAGTTATTTTTTATATGATCTTAATTTTATTATTTAATGGTTAAATTGTATTCTTTAATGATTTTAAGATAAATAATTGATTACTATAATTAATTTAACCATTAACAATACATATACCCTACAAATATAATTGTTCCAACTTAAAACCTCTATGAATAGTAATATTCTCTTTAATTACTTAGATTATTTAATGGGATCATGAATGTATCTTTTAAATGCAAATGCGTTAGTTAATAGATATATGCACATATGAAGTACTAAAATTGTAGCCAATTGGCAGCAGTTGGCCAACCTTACCGGATTGTACGTGAAAGCATTTAACTATTTAAGGGGAAAAGATGGTCCACATTAAGCCGTTTGCTAACCGTGGGCTTTGGTATGTGGTTTGGAGAGATAAAATGATGTTAAAATATAATAAGTTTAATTGTGATTTTTACCTTTTTATTTTGTGAGAATTAAGAAATTACTTTTTTTTTAATAATTTTAGTTTATCAAAAACTGATCATCATATTTTATGAAAAATGAAAACGTAATCTAATTGTTAATAAAAACATAAATTTATCCTGTTATTTTTTAAATTAATTTATTGCATAATCTTTGACCTTTTAAATTTTAGATAAATAATTTAATGGTAAGATTTAATAATAGTACTAAGTTGGATTAAATTTTAATTTTCATAAAAATCTAAGGATCAATTTTTAAAAAATTAGAAAAAAGGATTAACTTCTTAATATTCATAAATAAAAGGATGAAACTCATACTTACACCAAATATAATACATTTGTATATTGTATTGGCTCGAAAAGTTTAGTAGTTCTTTTTAGGGTAAATTATACGTTTAGTATCTGAACTGTTATTTTGGTTGAAAGTTTATGTACTAAAACAGGGAATAACTTATAGTTTAGGTGCTAAATGTGAAGTTTACCCTTCTTTTTATTGTTTTGAAAAAATGGGTAATTCGAAGAGAAAAGTTGAATCAAATAATACAACATATTGAATGAAAAACTAAAAACACCTAAATGAAATAAATATAACATAATATTAGGTGAAAAGTTGATTGCGAAACCTCAAAATATTTATTTACAATTAATTGATTCAATAAGATAAAATATTACATACTTTAAATAAAATCAAATACTAAAATTATAAATATAATAATTTAAGTTAAAAGATTATTTTTATAATAAATGTTATCATCTAAATTGAATTAATCAACTAATAGATCGAAATCGATTTTATCATCAACATGGAGAAGAAGTAGGGAAAACAATATGTGCATTTACTTCAAACAACAAATTGTCATTAATAAGATGTTATAGTGCAAGAACTAACACATCATCCCTTTGCATAAATATGTAGATATTGTATTCCCTCTTGAAAATAGGCCAGTAACGAGGCCATTTCCGGAGTTAATGCTCGACGCGCCACTTTCGATAGTATCGAGTATGTCGACTGCCCTTTAGAGGCCAACAGTACCAGCTCTTCCGAGAAATGAACTCAGCGAAACAAAAAAAAACATACAATAGGTAAGAAATTGCAGGGTTTGATGATATGTGTAGAAACCAAAGGCTTGAGAGACTATTTCTGTTCCAATGGAAAATGGGACTAATATATAAATGGCACACTTCTTTATCATTTTTAGAATATACGTGTAACTTAGATTCCTCTTTTGACAATTTTTTTATAATTTAATCCTTCAACTTTATATTATATACTTCTATCAATATTTTGTGTTCAAAGCTCACTTTTTTTTTAAATAACATTATAAATATATTATATAACTATAAATGATATTTAATTTATTAAATAATATTATGTGGGGCTATTTGTTTCGATGTAGTTGATTTTCCGAAAAATATTTTCCTAATTTGTTGACGTTTGATTCAAGTAAAATGGATGATCAATGTAAAACCAATTACAAGTTAACAAAATTTTACACGTTATACTTGTAAAACGACTTACCTTGTTTTTTTTTATAAATCGTTTTCTCAATATGTTCATTATAAATAAGTTTGAGAGAAAAATAATCAACTTACACCTACGTAAATAAGTCAAAAATATATTTTTTTAAAATTATTTGACATGTCTTCATATAATAATATTTGAAGTCTAAAAAACTTATACATTCGGTTAATTTTGTCCTAATTCAAAACAATTCAACAAGTTTAACTTTTTATATTGCCAAATTAAGTGAGTCCATTAGATTAAAGTACTCGTTGGATAATTATATTCCATCCTAAAATAATAACAAATTTTCGTTAAATTATTATTACGTGAAGAAAGTAACATGAAAGTAATATAACATTTTGGGAGAAAAATAAACGGCTTATGAAAATAAAGGCTAAAATAATAAAAAATTTAAATATGAAAGATTAAATTATTTCATACTAAAATCAGTTGATAGATTGTATACATTTTAGGGATTAAAGCTATTATTATACTAAGCAAAATCATTGTCTCCATATAATACTTAACGGTTAGCGATATATTTATGCTTAATTAAGTAGCATGTTTGTAATGTTTAAAAGAAAAAATGATTTATATATTATTGAACTCATAATTAAGTGACCGTAAGTGTAGTGTACTCCAAAAAGTTATTGTTGTAAAATAGTAATTTTCTGAACTTCTTCAAAGGAGTGCCACGGGACTGGACGGACCAGTTTTTAGTCGTTCTGATATCGATTTGAAAATATATTACTTATATCTGATCCTATTTCATCCTAATGATTGCTAGTTTTTTTTTTATTCTCAAATTTTAGATAAAACTCCGACTTCGATTCAATCCAAATATATTAATATTTTAAGATGATTAAATTAATATAATCTATAATAATATATTTATAATTGTTTATTATATTTTAAATTAATAAAATAATATATTTTATAATATTTTATTAATTTTTAATAATTAAATAACAAATTTTAACATTATAAAAATAAAAATCTCTAATATATATATATATATATAAATTAATAATTTATATTGAGTCGGTCCGTCGGATCAAGTATGTGATTCTTCATTTCAAACCTGAACTCGTCCTGTCCTATCTCAAACCTGAAATTTCAACAAAAGAAAAAACCCAAAAGAAAAAAACCACCTTATAAGATCTGGTCGAGACTCGTTCATCGGTTCGGATATTTTGACCATCCATACTTGCTTTACCATAGTCGGGTGATACCGGGTCCGGGTGACCGATTATAGGGCAGCCCACTGTCATCCTGTTCCAATTTACAACTGTACTTAACCATTAACGAATTCACGGGTCACCCACCCTTTTTCTTTTCTCGGTCGACCAGTCGATTGCCGGCGAGTTCAAAACCCGTCGCCTCAAAATTTTCGGCGTTAATCTTCATCAAGGCAAGAAGCATCATAAGTGATCTCTTTGAAGCCGGTTAAGTAGCTAGCCATGTCTTTCGATGGTTTCCCTCCATTCATTTCAGCTCAGCTCCATTATCTTATCAATCACTTCCCCGAAAAAATCAAGGTAACTCCACCTACCCACATTCCCCCGTCTTTCTTTCAAATTGTTCATTTCAATCAACGAAAGTACTTCGGTCTAGAACTAGGTCTCCGTTTTAACAGTAATGGGAATTTCAATTTCTCTTGTTAAATGTCTGTAAGATTTTTTTTTGCGAAATGCAAGATCTGTTTGTGAAATTGTTTTCTATTTAGATGATCTTATATGGAAAGTTTGTTTACATTGATACAGGGGATATTATTTACAATGCGGAGTTCCCATTGGCTCCGCCGGATATTATATTTGGACCTGAAGATGAGGATTTTCACCCATTACACATGACTGGCAGTGTGGGAGAGGGGGACTTGAAGTTTGGGAACATTTTGTGTGATTGGAACCATAAAGACCCAACAAGGCTGCTAGCTTTAATTCAGGAATTGAGGTTAGGCTTGATGTTTACTGACACTTGTTATTTAATGGAAATCAAAATTTTGTGTGATTGTTGAAAAAAGAATAGCCAAGAAGTTCATGTTATTTTCTTGTTAAATAGGGACCAATATATGGCCTACCAGAAGAAACGTGTTGGAGAAGTGGATGATGATAGGTTGACGTTTGAGATTAGCACTATTTGTTCACGAGAGGTAATCTCTTGGAGTGTGGTTTCTGATGGAGAAAGATTTGAAGATCCTGCTGTGTTGTTTTCTTAACCTGAATTGCAATTCTTTTATATAAATATTTTCATTGAGGTTAAGAATAATGGATGAGGAAATAATGTGAAAATTCAGAGTCATTTCCTTCGTGATACCCTTTTTTTCAATGTTTGTTGGTCTCATAAGAGGAAGTCTGTCATTGAATATTGACCTTAACACCACATATTTAACCTTAATATACATGTCTTTATCCTTCACTTCCTTTGCAATTCTTGTGCATGTCTATTGCCATATGTATGAACTGAAAGATAAAGAATTGACCATCACATAATTGCATATTGAACTTTTTAGTATTTTCAGACTCTGTCAAGTTATTGATATCAATGTGCTAACTTTTTAACATAATTATTTGACCTCCCCTCCTATCCTATATTTTTCTATCTAGCAGTAACTTAGTTTACCGTTTTCCACTGCTGAAGCTCTTCAATTTTATGAGATGCCTGCTTTTGTAAACTGAATTAATTGATTAGTGCCTTAAGTCCTTCCTCTTTTCCTATTTATTCATTGTTTTGCAGGGAATTGAAATGCAAATTAGTTCAGGTGCTGAAAAGGTATTCATTTGATAGTATGGTCTTTATAAGTAAGTTTTGTGTGCTTAAAAAATAATTGGTTTTTAATTACATCCATTGTCTTATGCCTTTGAATCTTAGCGTAGCCAGAAGAGGTCAAATTTGCAGTGCCTCTCATGGATATGAACATAAACAAGATGGTGCATGGGTGCCCCTGGAGACATCCACAAAAGATATACTTACAGGTTTACCTTTCCTTCTTTTCCCTCTCATTTATGTGTAATTTAATTCTTATTAGTAACTTATATGTAGTTGAATTGATGTTCGGCTTCTTTCTTCCCTTCTGTCCTCTATTTCTTCCCCACCTCAAATGAAGTTTGTAATCTTACAGGTAATATATCCTGTAGGAAAGAAGTATGCATCTACCCCTTCACCACCTCGTCTGAAATTGATGTCAACTACTGAGCTGGGAGCTCTGTTTACTATAGAAGACGTCAAGCTTCCTTCGTGGTTGGATGGAATGTAAGTTTTGTGCATTATTCTAATTTCATGTGTTGCATATCTTGAAAGGTAAAAACAATTTGTGCTGACAAATTTCTGTTGGCTTTTGGAGGTGCATGGCCGAGTATCTTCCTCATCTAGAAGAATCTCTTCAGAAACAGGTCAGCTTCTTTTCTTCATCTAGGCTTTACTTTGAGTGGTTAAGAGGAGTGATCTGTAATCTTCTTTGTTCTCCAGGTCGTGGAATCTGTTTCATTAATTGATATAAGAAGACGCTTTATAGAGTCATTAACTCCATTGCTTGGAAGACCTTTGGAAGCTGATCCGGTGCCCGCTAATCTTGCCATTTATCTTTACATATTAAGTCTTAAATCCTTCAACATTCATTGATAGTTAGGAATTCATTGTTTTCCTTGTCAGGTCTTTTGCAGGAAGGCCACATTTCTTGCTTCTTCTGGATCCTTTGTTTTCCTGGTACCATTAGATGATTACTGATTATATATACCATTTTCTGTTTTGGTGTTTTTAATGTTTAGGCCTAATAGAGGATTACTTCAGCTAATCTTGAATGAGTTCTTGGTCATTTAGGATGTTTTAGTCACATTATAATGGCATTTGGTTTTAGTGCAATTAGTTTTTGAATCTAACTTTTCGTATCCGTATTTTTTACTGAACTTGGCCTTTGCGAAAATTAACTTTTGATAGTGCTGTTGTTGTAGGTACATTTTCTTATTTCAACTCAGTTTCCTAAGCAGCAGCCAGCTGTGATGCTCCAAAGTTCTCAGGTAATACCATTAGCTTTTCCTAAATGTAAAGCACTCAGGTTCTTGAGTAGAATATTTAGATCCCTTTTTGGGACAGTTGATAAAAGGTTTTTGAATGCATCTTGTTGACGAGGGGTCCAAAATAGCAATATACACGTGTTAATCATATACTTGTATGATGATATTTGCGAATAAGTTTTTAAGGACCAACTGGCTTCTATGTTTCTGCACAGTATTAGCTCCTCTACTCATTGGAAAACGACGATGTTTTTTCCTCTTGGCTGATTAAATGGTTCCTTTGCAAATTGGCTAATTAAATGTGTTATCATTGTGACATATTGCAGCATATATCACCGCAAGGAATACCAAAAAAGTCACCCCTTCTATCAGAATATCCATGGAGTCCAAGATGGGAGGCATCACAAATGGCTGAGCGGATATTGCGAGTTTCTTTACCGTCTTTTTAGATTTTCAATCCGTTTCTTCTGTGTATTTTGCTAATGTGAATCGATTTTTCCAGCGACTTCTTGGCGGACGAGTCTTTAAACTTCAAAAGGTTCTGTAATGAGTCTCAACCTCAACACTAGAACGACATGAAGATGCTGAAGTTTCATATGGATTATGTTTTATTCATCCAAGTGTGTAAAAAGTGCTTAATGAAATATTTGGTAGTTTTATTTCCTACAATTTCGGAAATGGTGTTTAATTTATAGAAAGGAAATGCTAAGCTTTTTGACACTTTTAATGCATACTTCCGTCCAAAGAAAGTTAGGTTCAACATGACTTATGTTTAGGTAAGCTAGTGTTTTTATTATTAATGTTTGAACGGTTATAGTGTAATCACTAATTTTATCAATTTATTATAATTTGTTTTTTAAGGCATTGAGAACTTTTTGGCTCACATGTTTAGTTTTCAATATTTTAAAAATAACTTTTTTTTATAGTGGAAGGATTAAATGATATTAATAGTTTGAGGATTGATATAGAATGTTTTAAAGTTTAAGATCAATTTATGAAGGGATTATAGTTAAAGGATTAATATAGAACATTTTAAAATTTAAATATCAATTTAGAATGAAACCATAGTTTGGGATATCATGTGCGATTATCTATTAAAGTAATAAAAGCCTAATTAAAATTGAAGATAAAATGAAATAATATATATGTATATGTATATATATATTTTACAATTTTTATCTAAAAGGAGGGGAAGGGGAATTTTGCTCATAATAAGTAATAAATTTATGTATAACCTAGGAGAGAAGGAGGTGTCGGTTAAGAACTTTTAACTATTTAATCTATATATTGTTAACGAAATAATCCGTATCTTATTAACAAAATAAGAATATATTATTATATTAATTATTTTTTTAACTATATTGTAAGCTATATATAATATGTTGTCAATCTTAATTAAGTATTGGACTTGACTCAACGGTTAAACATTTTATTCGTGTAATAAATCTAAGTTTGTATCCATCAATTTTATTGTTACTTTCTTTAATTTTCACCAATAAAATGATATTTAATCAATCATATTGTCAACCTTTAATCAAGTAATGAACTTAACTCAATGATTGGAACTCTTAAATCTCGTCACACATGTCTTGAGTATGATCCCCTAGTCTTAACTTATTTTTTTCACCATTTGATTCGAAGAAAAATTTATTGAATTGAATAAATTGATACATATCAATATGGGTAATTAAATTAAATTAAATTAAATTATGATCAAAATAACTAATTTTTTTAATTATCACGTTAATATTTTTGTTAACAATTAACAACCAATTAACTTATTTGAAAATAATTTAGTGGTCTAAATAAAATCTATCCATAATTAACTGATTATTCATGTAGTTTACCCCAAAAAAAGTGCATAATATAAAGACCTATGCGATTTATTCTAAATGAAAACGCCAAATTTGGAAAAAGCGCTCGCCGCTCAACGTATCCAACGAACGTAACTCACCCCTTTGGATGGGCGGGACCGCGGGAGTTGGCGGTTAGTTGACGTCCGTACTATCTCTCTCTCAAAAAAATCAACCGTCCCACTCATGGACAGACAGACAACCCTTAAAAAATATCAGCCCATCTTTCCTATATTACTACCATTTCCTTCACCTTTTCCCTCACAAATTCCATGCCATTTCCTCTTCCAACCCTAATAAAACCTCTATAATTCTCCTTTTTTATCCTTTTTCTTTTTCAACGAAAATCGACGATGAGAGAAATCCTTCACGTACAAGGTGGCCAATGCGGGAACCAAATCGGATCCAAGTTCTGGGAAGTGATCTGCGACGAGCACGGCATTGATCCAACTGGTAGGTTCAATGCGGATGGTGAATCATCTGCAAACCAACTGGAGCGTATCAATGTGTACTATAATGAGGCTTCCGGTGGAAGGTACGTTCCTCGTGCGGTTCTCATGGATCTCGAACCCGGTACTATGGACAGTATCAGATCTGGTCCTTACGGCCAGATCTTTAGGCCTGATAATTTCGTGTTTGGACAATCTGGTGCTGGAAACAACTGGGCCAAGGGTCATTACACTGAAGGTGCGGAGTTGATTGATGCCGTTCTTGATGTTGTTCGTAAAGAGGCTGAGAATTGTGATTGCTTGCAAGGTACACGCAATATTTCCCTGCTGTTACGTTTTCATAGTAATCAGAATTATTTATCGTCTTCACTATAAATTTACATTTCGGTAAATCTGCGTTGATTTTCTTAGAATCGTTTCTAGAAGTGTTCTTTTATTATCGTTTTACCTTTTCGCTTTCGCCTCGAAGTTCGAAACTCTATCTATTTGAGTTGCGATAGCACACTCATGATAATGATATAGAACTGCTCTTGCTGTTGATCGTTTGATTTCCTTACTTTCGGCGATGAGCATATCAAGGTGAAATTATCTAAATTTTACCTATCTTATAATCTGTAAACAACAGCATGATCTTCAAAGTTATACAACTAATCATTCATTGTGAAAACTACATGAAATGACTGCTGCTTTGTTCCATGATCCACCTTTTTCTTTAGTTGGCTAATGGTTTAGACTGCGTTGTTATTAGTAAGCTTCTTTTTGTATGGTGTGGAGGCGAAAGTGGCCACGGGTCTTTATCTACCTTTTGTGAGAGAGAAAATTTTATTTATTAATTTATATAAGCAGATTTATTTATCTATATGGTTTTTCCTTTTTCTATTTTTCTCTCTTCATTGTATGATTTTGATTGCCCAACAGAAAGTCATTGTGTCTTTTATTCTATCGACAATATTGGTGGAGCCTTGATAACCTTTTTAATGCATTTGGTACAGCATCGGGGACCCTTACCAGCTCATCGTCATATGAATGCAGTCATTTATCATTACATTATTATTATGGCTTGGCCAATATTTAACAGCTGAATCTTGAAGCAAAAATGAAAGATCTCTAAATGTGCATGGAGAATCATAACTAACATGCATATATGCATACACCATGCGACTTTGTATCAATCTAAAAACAATAACAATCAAGGGGTAAATTGTAACATTGGCATGAGTATCAGATCTAGCTTTATGCAAAACATGAAAAGTATGAAAAAGAAAGAGATGGTCATATTTCTGGATCCAGATCTATCTGAAAAAGACAAACACTGTCATCATCTTATAATGGTATGACTGCTGTGAAAGATTTGGTTTGTTGCTATTATAATTCTAGTAACTCTGTGGTCCGTGCCCAAGATATATAACCCGTAACAGTTGAATCTGGCTCAAGTTGATCTAAATTCCTTTTGTTGATCGTAGTATTAAGTATGTGTTGGAGCATGTTAATCTTATTTATTGGGTGAATTCTGTTTCTTTCAGAGAAGGGTTAGTTTAAAAAGCCACTTGTGTTTAAATATTTGCATTTAATGGTGATGAAATCTTATTGGTTAAATAATATGGTCCTTTTTGAATTTTCTGATGAAGCTTACTTGTTTATGTTACCTCTGGACCAGGCTTCCAGGTATGCCATTCACTTGGAGGAGGCACTGGCTCTGGCATGGGAACTCTCCTGATATCGAAAATCAGAGAGGAATATCCTGACAGGATGATGATGACATTCTCTGTTTTCCCTTCACCTAAAGTCTCGGACACTGTTGTGGAGCCGTATAACGCCACCCTTTCTGTACATCAGTTGGTTGAGAATGCTGATGAATGCATGGTTCTTGACAATGAGGCTCTGTATGATATTTGCTTCCGGACATTGAAGCTCACTAATCCAAGCTGTGAGTGATAAAATATTAATCTTGATGGATGGTTTGTTCTAAACGTTATTTTTTAAAATAGTGAAACTCACTCTGCCCTTTTAATCCTGCAGTTGGAGATCTGAACCACTTGATTTCCTCAACTATGAGTGGTGTAACATGCTGCCTGAGGTTCCCCGGACAGCTGAACTCCGACCTCCGAAAGTTGGCTGTGAACCTGATCCCATTCCCACGTCTTCACTTCTTTATGGTCGGGTTTGCACCCCTCACATCCCGCGGTTCCCAGCATTACATTTCTCTCACAGTCCCGGAGTTGACTCAGCAGATGTGGGATGCAAAGAACATGATGTGTGCCGCTGACCCTCGCCACGGTCGCTACCTGACAGCCTCAGCTATGTTCCGAGGCAAGATGAGCACAAAAGAGGTTGATGAGCAGATGATTAACGTTCAAAACAAGAATTCATCGTACTTTGTGGAGTGGATACCCAATAATGTGAAGTCCAGTGTCTGTGATATTCCACCAAAGAGCTTGAAGATGTCGTCGACATTTGTTGGGAACTCGACATCAGTCCAGGAGATGTTTAGGAGGGTAAGTGAACAATTCACTGCAATGTTCCGTCGCAAGGCCTTTTTGCATTGGTACACTGGTGAAGGGATGGATGAGATGGAGTTCACTGAAGCGGAGAGCAACATGAATGACTTGGTTGCAGAGTATCAGCAGTACCAGGACGCGACTGTGGAGGACGATGAGGCAGAGTACGAGGACGAAGGTCCGGACGAGAACTATGAGACTTAAAAGAAAATGCGATGAACCCGAATGAAAGTTTGAGACTCTCTGCCTATACATTACTACTACAAATGTTACTTTGTAGTTAATAACGCTTGTATGAATTTCTGCTCTTTCATTGTTTTTTATTTGATGATGTTTCGTTTTGCTTTATTCGAACTTCAAATAAAGTATATTATCTGTTTTCTAAACTTCCAGTATCCACTACTAATCACGATTTTGAAATTTAATTTAAATATTTAATATGTTACCTAATTATTGTAATACATAAAATTATTATTATTATTATAGAAAATATCAAAATAATAAACATAGTAAACTCAAGTTATTTAAGTAAAGTTTGATTAAATAAGTAGATGACTCATTCGTTGTGAAGTTGAGCTTTGAATTGGATATTCTTCGTTGTGAAGTTGAAATCTAATCTAGAGTTGTATGTTGCTTGTGGGCACGATATTCTTCGTCGTAAAGTTGAAATCGTGGTTGGCTCATTTATTGTGAAGTGGAGCTTTGAATTGGATATCCTTCGTCAAGAAGTTGAAATATAATCTCGAGTAAATTGTGTCGCTTCGAGTCCAATATCATTTGCTGTGAAGTAAAAAAACTACTCTAACTAGAACCTGCAAAATTATGTATATATGTATGCAATGTTATAGATGTAAAAAAAGGATACTAAAGTGTTTATGAACTCTTTGTACTTTTCTTAAATATTTCCAACCAATTAAAACTCTTTTGTCACCAAAAGTTGCTAATTCCACTCCTAATAGACTTCACGTTCCGAAACCACGGAATTTTGAATAAACTTTAACATGTAAATTTTATACAATACAAATTTTGCAAAATTACCAAAAAAAATGATATGGGAAAGTACTAAAATTAAAAATATTAAAAAACTAAATATACTAAATCAGACTTAATCTTCTAATTACCGGGAGCAAATTCCACGTTCTACGTATTTGGACTTTTTACATCAGACACCTAAAACATTGTACATAACAAAACAAATCACCCAAAATCATTCATTGGTTGAATGATTAGCCTTTATGCATATTATCTCTCTCTTAAAAAGAATCTTTTCCAATTTACAATTGCCATACTCCTAAAAAATAATTTAATCATCTACAAAGGATGACGAGCTTTACATGCAGAATTATAATTCTTAGACCTGCAAATTTGTTTCCTTTTAAGCCTGGCTTGGGCAGCTCTAGCCTTTGTTGCTGTTTCCATAGTAAATGAGGTGCAAGAGCCAAAGGCTTCCTCTGGCGACACGTTGAGATCGATGACACCCAGTGGCCCCACATTATCATTTAGCTTGCTTATTCCCCCAATGTTTGAAGGTACCCAGCAGCATATCATTCCACCAATCGGGTATTCGGGATTCTTGTCCATTTCCATCATCAACGGTTGTTGATGGAGATTTTCACGACTGTTGGTGTTTCCGGTCTCCATGGAAATCTGGGTTAAAAAGGAAATAAGTAAATTTGGAAATAAAATCAATAACCCATTCCTGGAAATATTCAAATACCTTTAGTTTCTTTGCTTTCAACTCCATGTTTTCGGATTTCTGTTGATCGTAAAACCGCTTCTTATTCTCTATTTCCTGTTGGAATTTAACGTAATCAAGGATTAATATAGAGAGAAAGAATCGTTAAAATGACCATGTAAAAGACGAAGGTAATGTGATTCTTCTTCACCTTTCTAAGCAATTCATTGCGCCGAGTAAAACCTTCTATAATCTCTAACAATTGTTCTTTCTTCTGTTCAATTTCATCGAGAGAGAAAAAAACCCAGAAACGATATGAATCGATAAACAGAGGGAAAATATAAAGAAGCGAAAAAAGTTACAAAAAAAGAAAGAAGAAAGAAAGAACAAAGAACCTTTTTAAGAATATTGGCATGGGGCTTTCTCTTAGGTGGCGCCGGTGGTTTCTCATCAGATTCACTGGTGGGGAAGGAAAGAGGGGTAGCGGGACTGGAAGTCAAGGCCTTTTCCAACGGTACCACAGTCGCATAAGTAGAACCGTCGACTTTAGAGGGTAGTAGTGGTGGTGGTGGCGGCTGCGAAGGTTTCAGAGTAGGCATAGATGCGGAGGCGAACCTTGATTTCGAAGAAGTATATCTCTTGCCCTTGGAGCCCCAAGTGAAGGCAAAGGGGCGGCGTGGCTGGGATTGGGAGAGCCCTAACATGATATTAGCGACCATGATCTCATCTTCATCAGTGGCAGTAATATTGTTACAGCTCTGTCCATTGTTTTCAACAACAAAACAAAAAAGAGATGAGAAAAAGAAGGCGAATCACAATGGGATTTTCACCATAGAAGAAAAGAAAAAAGTAGAGAGAATTGAAAACATAGCGAGAGGAAGACGAAGAGATAGAGAAACTCGGCGGAAGGAAGAACAGTATAAAAGAAATAGAGGGTGAGGGTGTGGGATGGTGACACGTGTCATGGAAGGCGGTAGGGTCTCTCTAGGGTTTATTGATTTTGGTTGTGGACGATAGATGGGTTTGAGGTTAGAGCCACAGCCACTGTTCTTTCTTGATTTTTTTCAATTAAACTTGTTGTGATCAATGGATTACCTGTTTTATTCTCGAGCATTTTAAATCTTGATTTTTAAACGTAAATCGAAGTGTCATAAATTATCTGTATTTCACCAAATAAATTCTTAAACTTTAGAAAGAAACCAAAAGTCCAACATTCTTGATCATCTTGAAGAACGTCGGTCACAACTACTATTCCATCGAAAATCAGACAACACCGTCAATGTTTATCTTTACCCAAATTCTTAGTGGTCTCTCCCTATAGCTCACAACACAGGGAGTGTAGTTTGGTTCTCGCCCAAATCATGATTCATTTTAATTAATAGGATATTATTCAATATATTATTAGTATATAAATTTTATGTACAATTATAAACTATAAATAAAATACAAAATATTGGAAGACTTAAATAAATATTATCCTATAAATTTATTTGAAAGCAATTAAAATAATAGTAAACTACTTTTTTTTCGTTTTGGTTATCTAATTATTTTTTTCTCAAAATATAACTAATTTTATGTTTTGGTTTCATTTTAGTTATTACCATTTAAAAATTAACAAAATTATTAACGTGATATTTTTTTTTATTTTTTTTAATGATGATATGATATTATCTTATAAAGACACGAAATAATCATAGTTAATTTTTTTATCCGCATACGTTCAACACACCTGGATCATCATATACATGCTTCGAGACCCACGCCACGGTTGCCGATCCATGGGAGAATCTGAGACGCTCTGCTATTTACTATTGCAGTCAACCTGTTCGAACTATTGCTGCAATGGACCATTCTGTTGAAGAAATCAATTATGATCAAGTTTTAATTACGACCATTTACTAATAATGCATTTTCGTGGGAATTCTTAAGTTGATAACTCTGTTTTTGTTAGAGATCGTGTTCCAACTTCCAAGTGCTTTGATTTTTTTGATGAATGGGGAAGAAAAAAAAGTCAAGAATTTACTATTGAAAACTCTTCATTTACAGTCATGGGAGAAAAGGTTATACCAGTTCAAGCTAGGGGAACGAATGATGCCGGCAAGTTTCAAAGTAATCCACAATCCCGTAACTAAAGGTGAAATTTTGATCCCAGACTTCGGTGAGAGTGCAATAGGAGGGAGAGTAGGGAAAATGATGTGAGCTATAGGGAGAGACCACTAACAATTTGGGTAAAGATAACTGCATGATCCACCGGCCTGAGTACTACGATGGAAAGGTCAAGTGATATTTCGGAAAACTTCAGACATGGTCCATGTATGGGTATATGGTAGCCAAAATGATGCTTGAATACCAATCTCATCTGTGTATGATTTCATTTGAGGAAGATAAATAGATGTTGTTGTTGATACATTTATTCCTTTACCATCGTTTCATATATATATGTTTACCTATTAAATTGGAGCTTTAAAATGTTAAACACACAAAGCAATTTTACATATGATTCAAGTTAGAAGTTTATGAAATTGATATTTCAGCGCTGAATTAATTTAAATTAGAATTTTGATAACTTTGTACGAGCCAAGCTACTTCAATGGTTAAAAAATGATTGTTATCCCTAGAGGTCCTAGATTCAAACACTAGAGACTGTAAGGTGTTTGAACTTTCACTATCAAATGATATATTAAATAAGTATATTAGTTCTAATTATAAATTCTACTTATAATTATACAAATATATTAATTATGAGTATAATGTATCCATACATTATACTAATTACTTCTTTTATTGACAAAAGATCTTGGTGAATGTTTGATTGATAATCTATTATAGTTATAGAGATATTATTGACTTAAAAAAACATGTTAATATAATAATAATATTTGGTCCACCAATCTTTCTAAACGTGGAGTTATAAGAATTCATAGCTTTTAGTTTCATGAAATGTTAATAAATTATTTTTAAAATATTGAGAAGGGTAAATTAAATCATTCATCACTCAACTATCTTTCACTCCTATTTTAATCACTAAAGTTTGAAAATTTTAATTTAATAATTTAACTCCTAATCATAACCCTAATTTTCAATATACAATCCTCAAGCATAAATTTTACTATTAATGAGAAAACCTCTGTTATCCAACAATTCACTTTCGTCGTCCAAACAATTTTGAAGTCGACCAATGAGCTCTTCTGCAAGGTCGACGCCGTTAGTGGAGGTTGCATTTTCATGCGCGAATTATCAAAAGTACCCCCCTCCAGCATCTTGTATGTCGCATGCAATATCTAACTTGCGAGTAAAACTCGTGAGCTTGAGATGATTCGCTGCATGTAGGCCATGCTTGGCGCCCTCGACTGTGTTTTCCTCAAAAAACTTTCAAAGAATGGTATCAAGTTCGAGAGACGGTCTGATATGATTCAAGGTTAGTTCCCAAATTTTCTCCGAGGGTGGCCTCGACTATCTTGGCACCCCAAACCTCATCTATGCTCATAGCATCATTGCAATCTGAGCTTGTAAATTTGTGCTCATGGAATTCGTTGAAGGATACAGAGTTGAGTTGTCGAGGATGATGGTGGGGTAGGGATGTAATTTGGGGTTTGAAGTTTGATCAGGGGATTATTATATGGTTTGAGTTTAAATTTTAAGGTATAATTTAGGATTTTAAATTTATTTTTATTAGAATCCTACATGATATTAAATACTAAAAAAATACACATTGTCATATAAAAATATTAATAAAATAATTCATATCATCGAAGAGTGATTAAAATAATAGTCATTTGAAAGTTGAGTGATTAAATTGAAAATTTTTAAACTTGAATAACGAAAATAATAGTGAAAAGATAGTTGAATAGTAAATGATATAGTTTATCCCATTTAAAAAACAATCTGCAAGTCACGCACCCTGCGTGACTGTTGACCGTTGATAGGGTGTGGGCCGTGTGCCCATGCCGAGGAGTAGAAAATCGTATTTAAATCGTTAACCAATCACAGACTACAACTAAAAACACTCCCCTCCCTCCCGTCTTCTTTCCAGTATATCGCCGAGTCCCACTCTTTTCTGGTCCCATATATCGTGACTGACTGTCATCTCTCTTTTATTTGGAGGGGGGAGGGAATCAGGTGGGGAACGACACAACGTATATGAAGCAACGAGATCCGACGTGGCAGACACGTATGACAATACCGGCAGTTTGTAGAAAGGTAAAATTATCATACGGCAAAGGAGAAAGACAAAAAAGTAGAAAATTAAATAAAGTAAATTACATAAATGAACCCGATTATTGATATTGTTTTATTAAGATCCTTAATTATTAAAAATTATAAAATGATTTTTTATTATAAGACACTATTTTGTAAGATCCTCCGATTATTAAAAGATACAAAATAAATATATGATTATTCATATATTTCAAAAATGTTTTTTCGTAAAAAATTGATGATTGTCTAAGTTAAATGTTAACTTGTTGGTTGAGATATATGATAAATTTTGATCTTATAATTGCTTGAGTTGTATTTTATAGATTGACTCCCCGTTTATATTATACCGTTGAGCTATTGTTTAAAATATTATGTCATCGAACCAGTGTTTGAAGCATTATATCATCAAGAAATGTTTGAAACATTATGTCCTCGAGTCAATGTTTGAAATCAATAACATCTATCAAATTTTATGATTTTATCTTATATTAATCTACAAGTTAACATCCACTCATAGGTTTGTCAAATTTTTAAAGAAAAAAGGCGATTTTAGAATATATAAATAGTCAGATGATCATTTTTTTATTTTTTCATATTCGAGAGAATCAACAAAATAAAGTCTTATAATTGAGGTATTATTTTGTAACTTATAATAGTTAGAGTACTAAATAAAATAAAATCCTATAATCAGGGGAGCATTTATGTATTTTACGCAATTAAATAGAATGACGTGATAGAGAAAATCGGAGAAATTTAAAAAGCCAGGGGAGAAGACGAGCTTCTTCGGATTTTCCGTCTTTTGGGAGTTGCTGAGGAAAAAAAATAGTATGTGTATGTTTCAGAGCTAAAAGGATGGTATGAGACTGCATTCGTTTCCTGTTTTTCTTCTTTGAATGTTTGGTTTAATCTTTAATGGAGGTTTTCGTTTTTATCAGCAAGTGAAAATGAAAAAGGGAAAGTGAAAAAGTGTGATGAATTGATTTTTCTTTTCATTGTTTGGTTGAAAAAGTAGATTCGTTGCATTAATGAGTTCTAGTTTTTCAAAGGATTTGCTTCTCTCGTGAGTTTTTGTTTTTCTTACTCTCAATGCTTTTTATTTCACGAAGAACCTGATTCTCTCAACTCTCAGCTTTGTTTTTCCTTTTGTCTGCTTTTTTAACCCTCCTTTTTAATTTTCCTCTGCTTTCTCAACTGAAAGGAAATGGTTTCCTTGGAAACAAACAAAACCCAAACGTTACGTTTTCCGTTCTCTTTTCGTCTTTCTTTTGGCTCATAAGTAAACCCGTCATAAAAGAGAGAGAGAAGAATTAGAAAGGCGTTCGTTCCTTTATTTTTCTTTCTTCTTACATCTCCTCATTACTGAATTATACTCATAAATGCATTCAAAAAGTAAGGTTTCACTGGCCCTTTAACTTTTTCTGTACTTCAAGAGGCTCTGAAATTGAAGTGGTTGAAGCAGCATAAAGATCTTCTTTGAAGCTTTTTTCGCCTGTGAAAGCCGTTTTCCGGAAAGAAGAAGAAGAATAGCCGCCACGGATATAGCTCGAATATCTTAGTATTGTCATAATGAACACGCCACCAGCTAAAATGGACAAGAGCCGAAACGTGAGGCGTGGAACGAGAAAGCCACAACAACATTCTTCAGCCAACCTCATGTTTGGTAAATTTACTTTTACTCTTAAACTCCCTCCACTTGTTATTGATAAGAGTTTCTGAAACTGATTTTCCCATTGATTTTTAAAGGTTTTAGTGGTGGCGAGGTGGACTTTGAGAAAGCCAAGAAAGAGAAAATACGAAAACTGAGCAGCGTTAATGGCATCCAACACTCCAAAACCGAAACAAGTAATTTTTGTTGCCGTTATTTGTCTTCTGATAACAGAGAAAATCAATGCCCTTCACGTTCACAACTCTCTTCTCCTCTCATAAGTGAATCTACCACCAAGAGATTTAAGATTCCCAGAAAGGTAACCAATCAATCCCTGTCTCTCTGTTACTTTTTTATTTCTTCTGTACATCTATTTATTAAATAAATAAAATTGTTTCCTAAATTTGAAGGTTTTAATTTTCATTTATTTTCCCCCCTGCAGATTTCTGATAACAGTAATGTCGTTGATCATGCTTCTGTACCACGGAAGCTACGGTCATGTGAGTAACTTGTGATTTGTCCTTGCCTATCCTGTCGTTGTTTGCATTTTATTGGGGGAATTTCTGGGAAGATTCTCAAATTTTGTTTTTGAGTTCATTACACCGTACCTTTTAAATTGTTATTTCTACTTAGGTTCTTAAACTATTAATAGAGATTCAATGAGGTCCTTCTGTCAAGTCTAGCGTAATCAAGTTTTGATCATCCTGCATCTAAATAAAATAACCTTATTAAATTTTAATGATTTTTTACATGCTTGATTCAAATTGCCCCTGTAATTTATGCTCCACTTTAGATCCAAACTGATGTTTAATGTTTAAAAAGATTGGTAGATTAATGATAATTTGAAGATTTAATTAGATCGTTTTAAAATTTAGGGACTAATTAATATCCGGTATAGTTGAAAGATGTGTCGAACAATTAACTTTTTGCTTTTTAGATCACAAGTTTTGAACTGAAGTGAAACAATGGGCTTTTTGCTTTTTCCTGTTCTTGTGATGGACGCAACATTCCTTTTGCTAATTCTATCAATATTTTATTGATGTTGTCACTTAAACGGTGGAGATACTCAAAGCTGGAAAAAAAATCTTGTAAGGCATTTTTGAAGGAAGTTTAATGGGATTAATGTTTTGGTATATTTGGACTTTAATTTGCAGCCATGAAAAAGCGCGGTGACGAAGCTGTATCCCCCCATTCACCATATTCAAACAAACAGAACGGTTCGCTTAATGAAGCCGAATCACATAGAAAAGATGGTCCAAAGAAACCCAAGCTGAATCTGGTTGGTCAATGTTCCTTTATCTTCAATTATCATCTTCTTCAAGTCTATACGATATGGGGGGGGGGGGGAATGAAGAATTGAAAATTAGCTTTATGTTTTTTTTTGTAGAAACAAGGACAGCCATATAGATCTAAGAAGGCTATTGTTTCAGCGCCAATCACAAAAGATGAAGAAGAGGTTGCGGAGACCCTATATGCTTTGGCAGGAATGTTCCCTGATGATGACTCGATGGAAGTAAGATCTTTGGTTTCGCCGGAGATGGAGGAGAGTCCTGTTGCATTACTAGAAGGTTTTCATCTACTTCTAACAATTTGGAATACCTTTATCTTTTTCTTTACGTATCGTATAAATTGTTTAATTCTGCAGTTAAAAAGGATGATCCGAGCTCAGTTCAAGCTGCTACGGTTGTTCCTTCATCCACCATGGATGAGTCGTCCAACGAAGCTGATAAACTTGATCCTTTGAATGAACCTTATACTCGAGAACAACCAGGCTTGCCAGCGAGCAAAAAGCTACATTTCAAACATAATAGTACTATTTCCGAAATGAGGACCGATACTGGCATACTTTTCTTTAAGAGTAAACCAGATGCTGAGAAGTCTTGTATTCACGGCGATCGGGGTGTTCTTTCTGAATCAAGCTTAATAGCTGGGTGCGTATTTATCTTCTGCTGCTTCCTTTCTTTCCTAGTGTGCAGCTCTGTTTTTTTTTCTTTGACTTTTAATGCTTATGCAGATTGAAGCAGCCCAAGCAAAAGGTGACCAATCTTTTTCAGAGAAAGACAGAAATGGAATTTGGGGTAAGCTTGGATCAAAATTCAAATACTGTTTTCATAATCAAGTTCATATCACAACTCAGATGATTGCTTTGAGTTTTTTTTGTAGGTCATGGATGTCGAGAGCCGAGGACATATGATTAGGGAGCTTGGAAAAAATGGTGCATATCAGCTTAGGAGTTTCCCTTGCTTCTTTTAGCCTTTTTGTTTTGCTATTTGGATACTAATATCCTTACACCAATAAAATTCCGGTTCTATAGGTCTTGCATTGTGGCCAAGCTTGCCTTCTATAGTGCCCCTTGCACCTCGGAGCCCTAGTTCTTCACGGTATATCTCTTTTATCCTTATAAAATTATCTGTTTTCATGACCATCTTTATGACATCCCTCATAATGTTAATCATATATCAGATCAGTTGCTAATACAATTCCAAAATGGTTGGATGCTGCAAATTATGGCCCCCAGACATGTTCACTGGAAACTGGTTCTTCATCTGAAAAGGTATTGATGCCCCTTAACTATACATCCATGCATGCTTCTTGAGAACTTCAAGCATCTAATCAAGTTTATGGTGAACCATGAGATGTATAGGTTTTGAAAATCACCGGGGATAGGAATGCAATGAAAAGGTCCGCCACTCATGTTTACATCAGTCGTCTCATTCATAGTTTACAGATGCAAGGCAACAAAGATGGCATTCTTCAACAGCCTCCTTGGTTGAAACCCAATGTAGGATCAAAGCAAACATCTCTTTGGTATCCTAACAATTGCAGTAATATAAGAAATGCTATAACTGGTAACGTACCTGGCAGCACTTCTGGCAATACTGCTACTGATAGAAATTCTTATGAAGCTAGAAGTGGTATTATTCCCTCGCAAAAAATGCTCCAACTGGAACAGCCACGGACTGTTTCAGCTTCTGGGATGAACACTTCGAAAGGGCAGGTAACGTCAGCTGTCGATGTTTGATGTGGCTGTTTCTTTTACGCTGTCCTTAACACTCACATTTTTGCTCGCAGAGTTTCGATATCTTGTCTTTGTCGGCTGGGGGAGTTGGTATAGACGCTAACAGTAACTCTAGTGAAGTTTGTAATGCAATGGGATCAACATCACAACTCCAAGTTCCTCACCTTCATTTGAATCCACAACACCAGTCCCTCATGCCTTTCTCAATATCCCCAACTGATTATACCTCCTCTGCTTGCATGGACCACCTTTCAACAGCTACAGAAACACCGCAGGTTTCATTCTTGGTTCTTTCCTGTTTCATTTTCTTACCTAGTAAAAATAGGTGGGAAGATTGGTTTGAGAACTGCAGCAGCCGCCTTAACAGATGTAATCATAATTTTGTGGGATCACTGTTCCAAATAATTGCTGCAACTTAAGGTACCGAACCAACTAATGGGACCATTGATATGGATTATTTAATGAGCACTCAGTCGGACCTTTTCGTTGCTGCTTAGGTCTATGTTTAAAATATTTTCTGTTAGTCTGATCAATTCTTATCATAACAATCTCATGGTTCTGGTACTTCACTGCAGGTCTACTTACAGCTACCTCAATATCACGGTAACCCTTTCTGTGACCCTCCTTACACAAGTCATTCAGTTGTTAAAAAACAACAACAGCAGCGACTTTGGGCAGCTCACCTAGCAGCTCAATACCAGCCTCATGGAACTTCCACAGTCCTGACCCAATTTTCAAGCCGGCAAAATGGAAAGCCTGAGTTACCTACATCGATGCCTAGTGCTCAAACAGCCGTCCCTTCCCATACGACACTAGAAGCATTAGGTCCCAAGTATTATTCAGTTTCACAATATCATCAGCCAAAAATTGCATATACTTCGTCATTGCCCCCTACCAGAGTGAAAAGGACAGACCACCATTTTTCATCTGTTTATGATGAAAGCAATGGTGGATTCTCGGCTGACAGGCCACTGCCGTTGCAGTTACTCCGAAATTAGTAACTTAGTGCCTCTGAAGTTTTAAGTATACGGTTCCTTCCGCATATGATGCAGAGATGGGCATTGTTTTGTTCTTTCAACTGCAAGGGAGAGACTACCAACCATCCTCGAGGTTTATTTAATTGGCCATTGTGGATTCAGGCATGAAACATAATGAACTTTCTGGTATCAGATGTTAGAAAGATACCTTTGTGACTTTGTTACGTTCAGCAAGAAGACTACTGTAGTCTGTAGAGTTCCACTTTAAAATACAACAGAAATTGCACCATCTGTCTTTCATGCCAAATCATGTTACTCAGTTTCTCCAACTCCCTCATTCTCTCTATGATAGCTTGTACATACCTAAAGACTAAATCTCTTCCTCTATCTATTTTCTTCAATTTTCTGGTTAAATTCTTCTCTAAAACCATGAGTAACAACTAACACAAACAAAGGTATCTATTTCTCTATTCTTTCCTCATTTTTTCCCCTAAGTAACCAAATAAAGAGTAAGGAAATCAGAAATATTCATATATTACAAAGTTGATACAGATATAAAACGAGAATCGGGAATTTCACCGACCGCAACGAAACTAGTAATTTTGGGATCTCCGTTAACCACCAATTGATAACCTGGTAAGCGCACAATCAAAATATTCAACAAACCAAGCTATGTAATTCGCCCAAATCCCAAAACCGTTGAAAATCAAAGGGGGGGGGAAATGTAATACTTCGTGTTTCTCGAAATACTCGTGCGGAACATTGTATTTGGCTAGACGAGTCTTTGCGTTGCCTGTTCTGCAACAAAATGAATCGAATCTGCCATGATCAAAGTTTCAGAGTTTTCAACGGAGAAAATAAAGAAAATGTAGACTTGGAGGAAGAGGGAAGAGTTGGAACGGATAATGTGCGCATTCAGAATGAGTTTTTGAAGAAAATATGAAATTGAGCGAAATTTAGAGCTCGAACATGTTGGGTTCAAGTATTTATGGCTTCCCATTGTTGGACCAACTCGAAAGGTTTGAAATATTCCACCTTTTACATGATAGTGAGGGGATTAGGCTGTTAATTACATATACATACTTTATTGAATGATCTTAATAGTAAAATATTAAAATCGAGATATAATATTTTTTATTAATTTAGAATAAGTACGATATAATATCTGTTTAAAATAACTTACAACCGTTTAATATTGAATATTTATTTTTAACATTTTTATGCTCGAATTCTTAACCTAAAAAATTAACAATAATTATTTTATCGTTGAAGTTCGTACCAAGACACTATTTTAAGTGGTTAAAAATATATTTCTATTCGCTTTTCGTTATAAAAGGTCATCATATTATGTAATATTATATATTTTGTTAGATTATTGAGATGAAGTATTTTATTTTTACATGATTTTAGTTTATAATTATGTTTAATTTGAAGAGAAAATTGGATATATAGTTCGAGGGATTTGTTATAATATTATAAAAGTAAGAAAATTATGTTTATTATTAAATTGAATTTTTTTTTGGATAATTTGATTTTTATTACCGAAAGAAAGAGCTAATACCAGATACAACAGTAGGAAGCAACCCACCAACAATAAACAATCAACACCTCCCTACAAGTAACCTAAGCGAAACAACTCAAGGAAGACAACTAAAAGAAAAGCAAGCAGAAAACTGCAAAACAAGATAAAGAAACAACCCGTAAACAAACATCGCTTTAGGAACATCACACATGTCTGCAGGCGAGCGATCAAAAGAACAGTAGCAAAATAGAAAGCTAGTCAATGTTCCAGTCAAGGCAAAGTTCTGAATTAACCGTATCATCTTTGTTAATGCTACAACCATGCAACTTAACACTGACTGTCCGTTTGATAACGTCAAAGACCTCATCAAGCACCCGAGAACGACCTCTAAAGTGTATGAGATTACGTTCTTCCCAGACAAAGTACAAAAGACTAATCCAAGCTAGCTTCAGAATGCAGACAAGCAAGGATTTTCCCTTAAAGTTGGTAGCAGCCCAGGCCAAGGTATCATTCCAGCACAACCTCCTATAGGGAATTCTGCAAGTATACAGGATTTTACTCCAGAGACCAACAACAAAGATACAGTCATTAAACAGATGATCCCTGCTTTCAACCCCATCTCTACAGAGCTCACAACGCCCATCTAGCTCAATCCCCATATGAATAAGCATATCCTTAGTTGACAGTCTGTTCAAAATAACCATCCAAGCGACAATAGACATTCTAGGGCTATGGAGAGGGAACCATATCAAGTGCTCACAACTAACCTTCTCCCTCTCGTCTCTCATATTCTCCCAAACCCAATAACTTTTAACCAAATTCCAGTCAACAACACAACCAAATAAGCCAACAGCCTCTATTCTAAGCTTAAGCAGCTTCCTCAAGATCCAGTGAGATGAGGCTTATAACCAGCCTCCCAGAAAGTAGTCCCCCTTCAGGGCATATTCATTAACCCAACCCACCCAGAGAGACCCAATATTTGCAAAGATGTTTCTGATCAATAAAAAGTAGCAAACCTTGTTCCAGCAGCCCAGACTTTTAAGACCCAAGCCACTTTCAGACTTCAACCAACACATTTCCTTCCAGCTGACTCTAGCCCCCTTGACAGAAATATCATCCCCCTTCCAGAAGAACCGCATACAGAGTTTCTCAACCTGCCTAATGACTTCACTAGGCAATACCAACTGCTTGCACCAATAATTAGAAATACTGAATAAAACAGATTGGATGAGCTGCAGTCTGCCACCATAACTCAGCCTCAACTTAGACCACAAAGCCAACTTACTTCTAATCTTATCAACCAAAGGAAGACAGTCCTTAGCAATAAGCTTCATGGTAACTAATGGCACACCAAGGTACCTAACAGGAAACTTACCCAATTTAAAGCCAGTAATAGCCTGCACTCTTCTCAAAACATCCTCATGCACGCCACAAGAAAACAACTCATATTTTCCAACATTTAACTGAAGTCAAGACATCTCATAAAAGACCTCAAGAATACCAAAAACACCCAAAATAGAATCCTCAATACCGTGGCAAAAAATTAACAAATCATCAGCAAAGCTGAGATGAGTGAGAGGAACACACTTACATTTAAGATAAAACTGGGTTAGCCTTTCCTTGGCAGTAACATTTAACAAGTGGGACAACACATTCATAATAAGTACAAAGAGATAAGGGGACAGTGGGTCACTCTGTCTAATTCCTATATTCCCTAAAAAAAACCCACTAAACTACCATTAAATGCTATAGAATATCTAGTACCAGTGACACAAACAGTAATCCAATCCCTAAACCTTTCTGGGAGCCCTAAGAAAGCAAGTACATTAAGCAAGAAGTCCCAAGATACATAATTAAAAGTCTTCCTTAAATCAATTTTAAGGGTGCACCTAGGGGAAAGTGAGCTGCGGAAGTAGCCCCTAATAATCTCTTGAGCCAAGAGCGTGTTATCAACTATACTACGCCTTTTAATAAAAGCAGACTGGTTTGGCAAAATCATGCCAGGAAAGTAACTAGCAAGTCGATTAACAATAATACCAGTGATGGTTTTATAGACAATCGAGCAACAAGATATAGGATGAAAGTCCTTAGCCATACCAACATTTGGAGTCTTAGGCACCAAGGCAATTATTGTGGCATTGAAAATAGGAAGCAGAGTTCCAGATTAAAAAAAATCTCTAATGGCAGCCAGGAAATCTTTATGAACAATATCCCAAGCCATCTTAAAAATATATGTTGTATATCTATCTGGCCCAGGGCTCTTTTCATTACTTGTCTGAACAAAGAGGCTTTAATCTCTTCATTAGAGACCTCATTGACTAATAAAGCAGCAGCATCACAAGGAAACTCATATCCCAACAGACTTTTGAGGAGATCAACACCATAACTTTGAACTCCAACATCCTCAAAACCAAGCAATTCAGTGTAAAATCTCAACATCTCAGCAGACATAGAATCAAATGAGTCCAACCGATAACGATCCTCAGCATAGAGTAATCTAATAGTGTTTCTCTTTATTTTCCTCACTACAGTAGAGTGAAAAAATTTTGTATTTATGTCTCCCTCTTTCAACCAATGGACTTTAGCTTTTTTCTTATAGAAAGAGGCTTCAGCCACCTCAAGCTCTTGAAGCTCATTAAAAATAATATTCTTATCTTCTAAATGACAACCAGTTTGTGAAAGATTTGCAAGCTGCACCTGCTCAAGCTGGGCTCTTTTGGCCTTTACCCTGCTTGAAATGTCATCAAAATGGCTTCTGTTGAACTCCCTAAGTCTCAACTTGAGCTTTTTAAGCTTAGCAAAAAGGCAGAACATAGGAGAGCCAGACACTTCTAATTGCCAAGACTCTTTAACAACACTCTTAAAATCTCATTGATTATCCCAACAATTGAAAAACTTAAAAGGTTTGGGATTGTCAACCTGGTTTTTCTTGAAAAAAGAAATCACAACAGACCATTGATCAGAGACCCCCTGCGCTAAAAACTCAACAAAATAATTTGGAAAATCTTCAAGCCACTGAGAGTTAATATGGGCTCGATCCAATTTGCAAGCCAAAAAACTCCCTTTTGCTTATTAGACCATGTGAAGAGAGGACCCACATAGGGATGGTCAAAAAACCCCAAGGATGACATACAGCTCCTAAAAGCCTCCATTTCAGCAGTGACATAAGGCCCAAGGCTCTCAAAGTTAGAATTTTCTTCAACATTAATGAAAATGTTGAAATCACCTTCTATAAGCCATGAGGCCCCCCAACTAAGCTTTCGACCTCTTCCAACTGCCTCTAGAGGTGCAGCCTATCAGAACCACTGTTGTTGCCGTATACTGCAGTAATGACACATCTATGGCCACAATCTCACCAAAAAAAGACAAAGATTGGTCAAAGACTTTCAAGACTGATAGGGTAAGATCTTTTCTCCAAAAAATCCACAGCCTACCATTGTCAGATCACTCATGATTTGTAAAACAATTACAATCCAAATAATAACATTAAACCAACTTGCACACATTAACATACCTCACTCAAGTTTCCATAAGGCATATAATGTCTACATTAACCTTGCCCATTCTTAAAAAAGCTCTCTTTTTCTTCAGGGGGTTATTAAAGCCCCTAATATTCCAAAAATATATAATCATTAAGCAGGATTAGCCTCCCCCAAC